GATTCACATGGTACACACAAATATAAGTAAAAAAAAGTAATAGCTGGCGCACCCAGTATAATTGATCATGAAAATGGGTGTTAGCTTTTGAATTATTTCTCACAGGTAATTAAATTAAAATATAAATTATATTTTGATAATTGAATTATGTCCATTATTTCTGATAACAATACTTTTTTCTGTATAGGTATAACTCCTACAGAAATTGCAGAAGGTTATGAGAAAGGCCTAGACAAATGCCTAGAAATTCTTCCTACCTTGATTACACACGAGATAAAAGACGCCAAAAATTATGAAGAGGTGAAAAAGGGCATCAAGACAGCTATTATGTCAAAACAGTATGGAAATGAAGACTTTTTAGCTGATCTAGTTGCTAAAGCTTGCATCTCCATAATGCCTGAACAGACCACCTTCAACGTAGATAATGTCAGGGTCTGCAAAGTGCTCGGTGGAGGTTTACACAACTCAGAGGTACCTAAACATATTTTGAATTACTAAACTTTTTGACAAAGGAAACTGTTAAAAACAGTACACCTTTTCAAACGAAATATTGATGCAGATATTTATATGCACATTTCAAGGTGATTTATTTGTAGGTGATCCAAGGCATGGTCTTCAAAAAGCAAGTGGAAGGTGAGGTGACCAAGGTAGAAAAAGCAAAAGTGGCAGTATACAGTTGTGCAGTAGACATCCTGCAGACAGAAACAAAGGGCACGGTGCTGATTAAAACTGCCGATGAACTGATGAACTTCAGCCGCGGCGAAGAGAGCCTTTTGGAGAACCAGATCAAGGCCATTGCAGACACTGGGTGCAAGGTTATTGTGTCAGCAGCGAAATGTGGAGATATGGCATTGCATTATCTCAACAAGTATGGGATTATGATTGTCAAGCTCAATTCTAAGTTTGACTTGAGGAGGCTAAGCAAAACTGTGAGTATATTTTGATAAAGACCTTCAAAAGAAAAAGGACCAGATACTCTAGCACAATCAACTTTTTGTCATCATTATCTAGGTGATTACAATCATCCTTATCTTTATAGGTTGGAGCTACAGTGTTGCCAAGATTGACAGCTCCCACACCACAAGAGCTGGGGTACGTGGATTTGGTTTGCGTGGAAGAACTTGGTGACACCCCATTGGTTGCGTTTAGACAGGAGGGCAAAGAGTCCAGGATAGCTACAGTGGTGATTAGAGGCGCCACTGATAATTATATGGATGATATTGAGAGAGCTATTGATGACGGTGTGAACACATTCAAGGTAACTTGAGCTTTTTATCCAATTTTGATTTTTCTTCATGTCCCATCCAAATTGATATTTTTATTCCAGACTCGCAATATTGACAAAAAAGTCAGTTTTGTAGCATTTTTTTTTTTTTTGTAAATTAGCCTTGCAGAAATGAGACAAAATGTGGAATATAAGTATACTAAGTGACTATAAATCCGAACACCCAGTTTTAAATGGTTTTATTTTAATAAATTTTTATAAGTACTTAATGAAGCATAATAAGTAAATGATAAAAATTCAAACTGACTGCACCCTGATGTGCTACGCATTCTCCACGCGCCTAGGCATGCTTCTGATCAGGTGGTCATGTCCTCCTGTGGTATCTCATTCCAGGCAACCACCAACTCCTCTCGAAGTGCTTCTAGAGTCTGAGGAGGACGTTGCAAATTGAGCAATCTCCTACCCATCATATCCCACACGTGCTCAATTGGGGATAAGTCGGGAGATCTTGGTGGCCATGGTAACAATGTGACATCATTACGTTGAAAGAAGTCTATTGTGACTCTTGCAACATGTGGTCGGGCATTATCTTGTTGGAAAGTTGGATCTGCCAGGGTGTCAAGATAGGGTAAAAGATGGGGTTCTAGAACTTCGTGGATATAAACGCTGCGCGTTCATGTTACCCTCTGATGAAGATTAAAGGTGACCTGAAACCATAAGCTATAGCACCCCAAACCATAACTCCAACAATGTGATGAACATGTCTTTCAACAAAAAAACTGTGGATTCCTCGTTTCACACCACGTCGCCTTCTAACCCTGGCACGACCATCGTGCATGCCTAAACAAAATCGAGACTCGTCACTAAAGACAATACTGTTCCATTCCTGATCCCAGAGTGACCGTTGTCTGCACCACTCAAGGCGATTAAGTCGGTGTTCTCGAGTTAAAGGGAGGACCCAGTGTGGCCGGTATGAAAACAAGCCAAAACTTCTCATTCGTCGGTAAACACTTCGCATGCCAATAGGTCTTCCGTGTTCTGCAAACCATTCATTTGCAATGGACCTGGTAGTGGAGAAACGGTCCCTTAAGGCCAATAATCTTAGGCGGCGATCTTCACGGTCTGTTGTTCTACGGCGGCGTCCAGTGCCCCTTGCTCTTTGCGTACGGCCTTCTCGAAGCCATGCCTGACAACACCTAACCACAGTGTCTACACTTCTTTGCACTCTAACTGCAATTGCCCCGAAAAGAAAGTCCAGCTTCCCGAAGTCCCACTATACGGCCCCTATCAAACTCACTAAGTTGACGAAATCGTACAGGTCTCCGTACTCTAGGCATCGTAAATCGTAACCGATCGTAAAGGATGTCAAGAACCAAAATCCGCCAACGTTGATTCTTTACTGCGGCTGAAATATTCATTTTTAGAGCGTTAGTGAATTAAAAAAAAGCAGTATAAAAACCGGAATGTCCAACTGATAAGGCTGAAAATTTTTCACTTGTTATTTACAGTAAGATAAATACATTCACCAACTTTTATTAAAATAAAACCATTTAAACTGGGTGTTCGGATTTATATGTCACTTAGTATACATACATAGAGGATACTGAGCCGATCAACGATTTTTGTGAATAGGACAAGCAATCTTGGCAGACTGAACAAGATATCTTCAAACTAGCCTATATGGATCATCCGAACATTCTGCATTACATTGGCGTCGAGAAGAGAGGAGACAATCTCCAAGCTGAATTCTGGTTGATAACAGCATTATTATTATAATTAAATTATTTTTTGGCGTACGATATTTATACGCTTTCTATCGTGATATTTTCACGCATAGATCTCCCCTTAAGACTTAGCAGCCCTCAAATAAATTCACAAATATACTGAGTGAACACCTACGTATGTTTATTAGAATTCAGGAATTTTTTTCATATCGATTTATCTTGCCATGAATAACAAGTGATAAAATGGTCAAGTTTTTCTGTTGAGTTTTTGTGGTGGTTGCGTGTATTGTTTGGTCATAAAGAAGCTTCTGCGCTCAGTTGACGAATCAAGCTGAAAATTTAATCTTTCTACTAATAAGGGACACGGAACATATATGCCAAAAATTATTAAAATCCTGTTTTTGGGCATGGGTCAACTTCACTGAGACAGGGCTCGTACATGCTCCTAGTTATGATTTGTCTAGTGGGCTAAACTTCAACCTTTTACGCTTTTTTTTCTTCTTTACAGTGTCTGACTCGCGATGGACGCCTGGTGGCAGGTGCCGGCGCTTGCGAAGCGGAACTGGCGGTACAGTTGACGAAATACGCGGATACTCTACCCGGATTGGAACAATATGCAGTCAGGAAGTTCGCCACGGCTTTGGAGAGCTTCCCCAAGGCTTTGGCAGAGAACAGCGGACACAAATCAACGGCCGTTTTGGAGAAAATCCTGGAGGCGCATCAGGTAAGCAATAGGGACTTTTGTGTATTTTTACGTCGGAGTTTTCTGGAGACATGCCGGAGTTTAAGACTATGAAATTGTAGACTCGCGATGCCTTTATTTTCTTATTGTCATTACTGTTTTTTTATTTTCTTCATGTTATTTTAGACTGGCAAGAAGACGGTAGGAGTAGACATAGACTCCGAGAACACGATCTGCGACGCCGTCGAAAAGGACGTCCAGGACATTTATTCCCAGAAATATTGGGGCCTGAAGTACGCCGTCGGTGCAGCGGCAACAGTACTGCGCGTAGACCAAATCATCATGGCCAAGAAAGCTGGTGGGCCGAAACCAAGACAGCCGCAAGGAAGTGACGACGAATCTTAAAAGGCGCCACGTACGAGTATTTTTCGTATTTTAATCTCACTCACAATGTTCACACATAAGTATTTAATGTACCGCGCAGTTTGTTACTAAGTTTTTGAAATAAACGCAAAACTACACGCGAATTTTTTATTTTGAGTTCGGTGGCGTATCTCTGTGAGTCAGAGGGTTACGGGTGGTGAGGGGAAGCAATATGATTTTCTACACGGAAATTCCCATGCTGAACCCCAAGGCACTCTTATATTCGTCTAAAGCATCCCACAAACCGGCGCGAAATATTCGCTTTGGCTGCGTATTTCAGTTCGCCTTTGACCGCGTTTTTGACGCCGTTCTTCAAAAATTCGCAATGGCAAAAACGGAATTATTGATAGAAATAGTGAAAAAGTATCCTTGTTTGTATGATTTGTCGAACGATGAATACAGGAATGTGAGAAAGAAAGACAAGATTTGGATGGAAATATGAAAAGAATTAAATACAAATGGTATGTACCTAATATTTTTTATTAACTTGTTAAATAATTTACAGTCTACACAAATGTGAAAACGAACATTCTATATATTGGGCATAGGCATATCAGAATTAAAATAATTTACGAATTTGTCACGAGTAGAAAATGCTAGCCTTGCTGCCCGCCGAGGATCATTTGCTATATCAGTAAAAGCTCCAAGCACGGGTTCTGGGGGATCTAAGAATTGAAAATATTTGTCATCGCCACTTTTACTTCGTAAAAATTGTGTAAAACACATGCCGTACGTACAATTAGAATAGTAGTATCTACTTTAGTTTCTAATGGCCTGTAAAATATTCGGCATTTTTGAGACAAAATACCAAACGCATTTTCCACGACCCTTCTAGCTCGACAAAGTCTTACATTGTATTTCTCTTTTCTGACGTCTGTTAAAGTCTGCTTATAAGGAAATGGTCTCATAAGGTATGGTTTTAAAGCAAATGCTTCATCGCCAATTAAGACGTACGAGCAGATTTCATTTTGCCCAGGGAGAAATCTAGGTGCAGGGACACTCATTAAATTTTGTTCAAATCGTTTTTCCATGTTTGAGGTTTCGAAAATACCCCCATCACAATTTTTTCCGAAACCACCAATATCAACACATATAAATTTATAGTCCGGGCCAACAATGGCCATTAGTACTATTGAATATTTATGTAAATAGCACCAGTAATTGGAGCCACTGTTGTTAGGTCTCTTGATTGTTACATGTTTACCGTCCACGCTGCCAATGCAATTGGGAAATCCCATCTATTTCCAAATTCTTCAGCACATTTTTTCCATATATTCTCTGTTGGTTCTGGTAAATATATATGTTCCATATGTCTGCATATCGCTTCACAGACGTCGGTTACGATTGCACTCACTGTTGTAAAGCCAACTCGAAAGCTATGCCCAATGGTATAGAAGGTGTCACCAGTGGCAAGGAATCTATAAAAAAAATCGTTTTTAGGTGATGAAGTAAAAAAAAGGTGGAAGAATATCAGAGACACATTTGCAAAATATATAAAATCTACCAAACCAAAGACCGGCCAAGCAGTGGGCAAAATAAAGAAATGGCAGTGGGCTGACTACATGGAATTTTTCTGTCCTTTTTTGGCATTTGCTAAAACGTCGTCTAATGTGAAAGATATTGACCTCATACATTATGAGACTGCCGAATTTAACTCAAATATATATCAGGAAAGGACTGGAAATGTAGAAACCGAAAATTGGAAGACCGCGGCCATGGAGAAGATGAAAATGCTGATGTAGATGCAGAAGATGCACAGAACGCCTCGGCAACACAGACAGCACCACCTTCTTCATTGAACACTACAGCAGTGACTACTCCAGCGCACACCTTTCCGCAGACTGCAACTACAAGAAAATATAAACGAGCAGAAAACGCTATGAACCACCATCTTCGTCTGTACAACAGCTCATTAATTATTTTGAAGGTAAAAAACCTAAAAAGAGAACGAGGCCATTGATTCACTTTTCTTGGCACATGCACAGACTGTGAAAACACTTCCCTTAAAGCGTCAAGCCCGAATAAAACTAAAAATAGCCGAATTAGTAGCGCACGAAGAATTTGAACATATTGAAGAAATGTCTTCAGCGTCTACCCAGAATTCTGCAAGTATGTATGATAGTAGTATGTCGTCCTTCCCAAGCGGCACTGGGTTTACTCCAATAATATACCCAACAGAGGAGGCAAATTCTGCCTCGAATTATTTAGCAACATTTAATCCTAGTTTTCGTATTCGATAAGCCTACTAATTTTAATACATATAATTTTTTTACCTGAGTGTAATAGCAAGTCGTTCTTCTGGCGAAATAGCTTCACGATAATTTGTGTCAGATTTTCGTATTTCATCTTTCACCAAGTTCAATATTTCATCGAAACACTCTGGAGTCATTCTAAAATATACGTAAAAGCGCTGTTCATCCAGCCGAAGTTGTGGCATCAAGGTATGGTATTCCCCAAATTTATTTCGTTCCAAGTTAATATCATGTACCCACTTCCTTCGTTTCCTAAACAAAATTGAAAATATTTGTTTTATGTACTTCGTTAAACTTAATACATACCCAACTATGAAATGGCGTTAAATAAACATAACTTACCGTGCATTTTGTTCCTCTTCTAAAGCAAGAAATAGAAGTGCCTCCTCTTCTTCTGAAGACGAGCTCATTGCAAAAGGCAAAAATAAAATGTACGCAACCTGTCGAAACCTTCACGTTCGCGGAGCGAATAAGACGCTTTGGTATGAATAAACAGGCGAAACAGATGCGAATTTCGCTCTGAATTTCGTTGCGAATACTTCGCCGCGATTATTTCGCGCCGGTTTGTGGGATGCTTTAAACTGTTGAGCAGGGGGAGGGGATCTAGGAATAGTGCAAAAAAATAGAATCGTCTCTCGCCCGCCGGCGCTTGGATACGCCCTCGAGGCCAGAGAAACATGACAATACTGACATAAAATATGACGCCCAGAATTATTGAATTTTTATACAATCTTGGAACATACAAATGATCATTGAAAATCAGAATGATCGGCGGTACACTGCGAATGTTCCAACAGGATGGTGCCCCACCACATTACGTGTTCGACAATATTTAGATCAGTCGTTTCCAGATCGATGGATTGGTAGAAGAGGTGCCATTGAATGGCCCCCAAGATCGCCAGATTCATCACCTTTGGAGTTCTTTATGTGGGGTCATTTAAAAAGCGAAACGTTTTGATCAAAGTCTTTATTATTGCATGGAGAGGCATGGTGGCCATTTTCAACATTTACTTGCCTAACGGGTCAGTTCATTCTTCATTTTTAAATTACTTTGTAGCCAAATGTATTGATCTCCACTAATGATGATGTATTAGATTTATTTAAGCTTTAAATCGATAAATCTTCAAAACTACTGAACTGAAGTACATTAATTTTATATCATTATAAAGGGAATTGAAAGACCTTTAGAATAAGGTATCACTCGACCGGGTCCATTTAAGATTTTGGGGGTGGTGTCACCCCCGCTTAGGAGCTGCACGTGTTACCGTGATTTTTTGCCAAACTTGTGTTCCCTCAAAACAAAATCGACGGTTCTAAGCGTTTAAAAAAAAAACAAAACTGTTGAAGAGCAGGGGGAATGGAGCTGGGGGAAGTGCAAAAAAATTGCCTCAACATTAGTCGGGGAAATTAAAGGAAATTGTCTGGTGGAATTAACTTCACAAGCGCTGGCATAGAAAAAATTCCAGTTTTATGTAAAAACAGCTTTATTACAAAATATATAATAGGAAAACTTAACATCATATGGCAGATCAACGTAAAAAATATTTCTGAATGAGATCAAAAGTCAAAGTAGGACTTACTTTTTTCTACTTTCACAGCCGTTGAATCTCGCAAAAAAGTAAATAATACTTTATAGTTTACAAAGAGTTTTTACTATTAGTCCAATCATATTAGACGAAAATACCCCTGGTTTGCGAAATAATTTTCAAGTCTGGTTTTATTGCTGCAAGTTGTTCAAGAGGGTATTCAACACATGGACGCGTAAAATAGGCACATCAATTTTTGTGGGAAAACTTTATTAGACAACAAAGAATGAGAAAACGTGTTTTTGGGGATTTAATCGAAAGTGGTGGCAGTAACGAAAAAACTATTTATATAAGATTTTTAGGTATCGATGAGACCTACAAAATGAGACCACACGTAAAAAGATCCGACTAATATCAAAAAAGTTATGGACGAAAACCGAGGCAGGTTTTGGCTACTATGGATCTCGCAGATGCTTGAAATTTTCCAAATTCGTAGGATTCGTACTTCTAAATAACCACAACAAAATAGGAATACATTGGTCAAGTAGTTTTGAGAATTTCTAACTATCCCAAAATATCTGTTTTCCGGCCAACACTACTAGATGATTCAGCAATATGCGATTAGTTCAAATGGCATTTTATAGCAAAATACACTAATTTACCTTGCCGATATAAATCGCATACCGTTCCGGAAGATAAATGTTATTTTTATGCAAAAAAGGATGGGTTACGTTTTTCCTTCTAAACAAATTCAAACATTTCGTATTTGTGAGTAATTTGCAACAAAAGATGGTAGATACATCCGCTTTGTTTTAAAATGTGTATAGTAACAAATGTTTTCCGAATATCGTAGTGCATTTGTTCAATTACTCACAAATACGAAAGGTTTGGATTTGTTTAGAAGAAAAAAACGTAAACTTTGTTTTTCGCATAAAAATAACAGTTATCTTTGGGAATGGTTTGTGATTGATATCGGCAAGGTAAACACGTGTATTTTGCTATTAAATGCTCTTTGAACGAACCCTGTATATTGCTCAATAAACTAGTAGTAATGGCCGGAAAACAGGTGTTTTGGGATAAACAATTAGGAATTATCAAGAAACTACTTGACCAATATACTCCAATTTTATGGTTGTTATTTAGAAGTATGAATCCGAACGATTTGAAGAATTTCGAGTAGTTGCGTGGAATTATCGTCGCATAAGTGCCAAAACATTTGCCTCGTTTTTTGGTCATAATATTTTTGCTATCAGTCGAATCTTTTTACGTGTGGCCTCATTTTGTAGGTCTCAAAATACCTAAAAATATTATATAAAAAGTTTTTTCGTTCCTATCAACACTTTCGATTAAATCCCTAAAAACACTCTCATTCTTTGTAGTCAAATAAAAAGTTTCCCCGCAAAAAATCGGTGTACCCATTTTATACGTCCATATTTTAAATACCCCCTTGAACAACTTGTACCAATAAAACCAGACTTTACAATTATTGCCGGGAAATTTGCTAATATGATTATTTAGTACTTATTGTCACTGATTATATACATATATAGTACAAGTATAACAAAATAACGCGTCGATCTGACGCGATATTATTTAAACTTAAATATACTTTCCTCACGAATAACATAAATATATCCTCTTAGATGAAAAAGGCAAACAAAAATATATTTCTGAAAAAAAAAAACAAAAACGATATCCTCGCGATACGCCACAAAAACAAATATAAACATATATTAAAAAGTTAATCCTGCGAATAATTTAGACCCCCAGCTTGACTTGAAGCATCGTGTGATACATCTTTTTTGGTTCAAAATATACTATTAGATATTTTTCAGGGTCAAACTTTTCGCGGGTTATACCGAATCGACACACATGATATTGCATTTTTAACTGCTCATCGAGTCTCACTCAATACTGTGGAGGGAACACAAAACCTTGCGACGTGACCCCCGGTGTGTACCACGTGGACGGCGGAGTGGGCGGGAAGACGAAGGTGTTCCTGGGCATGTAAGACATCGCGTCTACTGCCGGAGAGGCGTACATCATCTGAGTCGGAGACATCAGTACTTCGGACATCTCTTGGGGTTGAACGGCGTACAGTACAGGGGTACCTAAAAAAGGAAGGCGTGGCTTTAAGACATTTTTTTTTCTTTTGTAGAAAAGATAATATATCAATAATATTGGAAACCATTCTTTTAAAACTACGGTAGCTATCAATGTCTCTAAGTAGAGTATTATACAGGGTGGGCCATAAGAGTGTTGACGATTTAAAACTTAAATTTCTCAGAAGCGCAGCGTGCATTTATATAAATGATATCTCTGACATTTTAGAACACTGCAAAATTCGAATATTTACGGACGATACACTTATATATATATACAGGGTGTTTCAGTTTATTTTTGCATAACTTTAAGATTCGATAGAACATTTAAAATTAATGCATAAAGTTTTTTTTTAAATATTTCGAACAATATTTGATGTAAAACAGTGAAAATTGGTATACAAGGGTTTTTTGGTACGACAAAACGAACTATGGGCATAGTTTTACTGTAGCCGCTAGAGGGCGCTCTCTACTGTACCTGTAGTGTATTAAATGACCGAAAATTTTTTCTTAGTGCAATTTTTTGCTTTTGAATAAAAAAACTGATTCTTCGCACTTTTCAACATAAAAAAGCTCTCTTGTGAATTTTCGTTATAGTTAGCCGTTTTTGAGATATTTCGATGTTTAAGGTTCGATGCATTTTTAATTATTTATGATAAAATAACGTTAAAAAGTCAGTATCTCGATAATTTTTAGAAGTAGGCTGTGCCTGCAAATATTTTTGAAATTGAAAGCAGAATAAGATTAAACGTCAATTAGTTGACAGTTAGTTTTGTTGTCTGTTGAAACCTGAAACGTTTTTTTGCAATTGTGAATGCACGAAATTTAGTTTCTTTTACCTGTTTTTTTTTGTAAGTTTTATAAAAATTCCATTTTTATTCTCCAATCAAGAGTTAGCAGATATTCATTTTGTGTATGGCTTTGTAAATGGAAACGCAGCAGAAGCAGCCAGACAATACGCACGAAGATTTCCAAACAGACGACATCCAACCCGCTCAGTATTTGTAAGAGTGCATCGCCAAATAATTGAAAATGGTTTTGGAAATCTTCAAAGGAATCAAAACATAAATGTTCATCAGCGCAGATTTACCCGTATGATTCTGCGTGAGTTTGATAGAGATCCGACCACAAGTGTTACGAGAGTTTCTGGTGCCTTGGGAATTTCAGCAAGCCATGTTCACCGTGTTCTTAGAAATGACCATAGACGTCCTTACCATTTGCAACCTGTGCAAGGACTACAGCCAGGGGACGGAGAACGAAGAATCACATTTTGTCAGTGGATTCTTGATAGAACTGATAATAATAGGGAGTTTTTAAGTAACGTTTTATGGACCGATGAGTCATGCTTCACTAGACGTCGAGTGGTAAATTTTCATAATCAACATATCTGGTCACATGAAAATCCGCATGCAGTTCGGGAAAGAAATTTTCAGCATGAATTTAGTGTGAACGTGTGGATTGGTATCTACCGTAATCGACTATTTGGACCCTACCTTTTGCCTGCAAGGTTAAATGCTTCGACCTTCTTGGAATTTTTAAAGGCTGAACATGCAAATATGTGGGATGATGTTATGTTAGATTTAAGAAGATTGGCCTGGTTCCAGCTTGATGGTTGTGCAGCTCATTATTCGAGAATAGTTAGAAACTGGCTGGACGAAAATTATCCAGAATGATGGATCGGCCGTGGAGGACTAGTCGCCTGGCCTTCACGATCCCCTGACCTAAATCCATTAGATTTCTTTGTGTGGGGATTTCTAAAAGAAAAAGTGTACCAGACTCCCGTAACCACAAGAGATATGCTAATAGACAGAATCAGGAATGCATGTGATGAAATAAGGCCTTATTTGAATAATGCTATACCACGTTCGATCATTCGTAGACGTGAATTGTGTATTGAACAATTGGGTTTACATTTCGAGCAACTACTTTAGATTTTGTATGTTTGTCCTAACTATCCAATAGCATTTTAGTTGTAAATAATTAATTTAATTTGTTAAAAATAATATTGGAAAATTAAACAAATTAATATTCTGTTTTTCTGTGTTTATTTGGAGTTAGGAATTATCGCTGTGTTTAAAACCACAATCTAAACGATCATCTTAATTACTTGTAATGCCCAAATCGAAAATGTAAAAAAATATTATTTTCCCATAAATAATTAAAAATGCATCGAACCTTAAAAATCGAAATATCTCAAAAACGGCTAACTATAACGAAAACTCACAAGATAGCTTTTTTATGTTGAAAAGTGTGAAGAATCAGTTTTTTTATTCAAAAAGTAAAAAATTGCACTAAGAAAAAATTTTCGGTCATTTTAATACACTACAGGTACAGTAGAGGGCGCCCTCTAGCGGCTACAGTAAAACTATGCCCATGGTTCGTTTTGTCGTACTAAAAAACCCTTGTATACCAATTTTCACTGTTATACATCAAATATTGTTCGAAATATTTAAAAAAAACTATTTTAGAAAGTAAATTTAAACACCCTGTATTTCGAAAGCCACGCATTTTTCGACCCATGTTTATATAGACTTTATGCATTAATTTTAAAAGTTCTATCGAATCTCAAAGTTATGCAACAATAAACTGAAACACCCTGTTATACACTTTTTCTACTTCCTTGTGTTACCGACCCGCGATATAGTACGGTCATTATATGATACGGTATAAATATTAATGGAATCTGGTTCACCTGTATAAATTATACATTTGATCAATGTGCAATAACCTAAAAAGCTCTAATGGTTTGAATGTAGCGAATCTAAAAAATCGCATTGTTTCGATACAGTCACATAAGTTCACATAATATGACTGGGATATAAAGACCTGAATAATGACGATTTACGCGGCAGAATGCTTAGAGAAAACCAGGCATGGACAGCGCCGAAAGCGGAGCTGCTTTATTCCTTAGAAAATACCACGCATATCGATTTCTCTTAGTTAAAAGCCCGTATCTACTGAGTACATACCAATCTTTATAAAAAAAAATACTAAGTGTAAATGCAATTTTTGGCATTTACGGGGAAACTATTTCCGTTCAAAAAACACTGAAAAATGTAAAATAGGGGTTTTTCTCTATATAGATATGTGGCATAAATCATGATTATTCGTTTGGTGCAAATATCTCAATTGTTGGACATACGGGGGTCTTTTTAATAGGGCAGTACTTGTATGAGGATCATCCAACGCCAAATTAACCACTTCCAGTTCCTCTTGAACAGTATGCCGGATAACATGGCATATAACTCCGTGAAGTTTGGCAATTCCATATTGCCGAAGTCTTATAAATGAACGCTTCAAAACCTGTGCGATAGGTTGGCGTCTTTTGTACGTTGATACTTCAAAGAAGCCGCTAAAGCATTTCCATTACAGAACACGTACAAAAAAATAATATAGGCGTACTCATCATTGCTAAATTCCATTTCACGACACTCAAAAATGGAAAAAAGAAACTTGACTGTTACAAAAAAAGTGGTAGTAGTAACGATAATAAGGGTATAACATACAACTTTGAGAAACTATATCAGAATAAACGTCAAGTTGGTATCAATGCCTCCTATTTTATTTTGAAACTAATTGTATCTCGGCTCCGCGTGAATGATCTAATTTGTTTTATTTTTACGAAAACAGTGCACTGTAGGACAAAAACAAGAGTAACTATTTGTAGCATATTTGGCATACTATTTTTATTTGCCACTAATCCTCTGTAGTTCCGCCACTGGTGCACGTTAATTCCAAGTAAAGGCTTTTGCATGTGGACTATACTTAGGTAAATCCACATAAATTTTAGTTGATTCCAGTTGACGATTTTGAAGATATTAAAAAAATCCAACAGCCCTCGTGGAAAAAATGTTCCATAGAAGACCCCCCTCAAATTGCGGTACTCCGTACGATGTTTCGTCGTTGGTCACGACTTGTGAATCACCCCGAATAATCCCTACAATAATTCACGAACCTGGAGGAACTGTAATAACAGACGGGAACATCTTCACGGCCGTGTTCGGACTGGGCGGCGTGAGGTTCAAGGTCAACCTCGGCCTCTCGTGCATCAGCGTCGTCTCCGTCTGCGCAGGTTGCGGCATCGCTTCGTACCCGTTCGTCTGCGGCTGCTGTTCGACCACCAACGGCGATTGAGCAACCTCGACGTACTGCTGCTCCGATTGGTCGACGATCGGTTGCCTCGTCGCGTCGTCAGACTGCTGCTGGTACTCGGACGGAGCGTACAACCACGGGTAGTTTTGCTGCGGGTATACGTTGCTGACGTGGTAGTTGTAGTAGAAGGGGTTGTTCACGTCTGCGAAAAAAACGGCGCCAAGTAGGTCGACTCTACGCTTGCTACGCCTTCGTTGGAGGTTCCAACGGAAACGGACGAGTCGAATCGTGGTTCGGTAGGTATAGTAGACGACAACGATATTGTGTTCGTTTACGTTTATTGTATATATGGAAAAACAATCGGCAAATATAGTAAACATGGTCTTACATCAGAGAATGGAGAGTTTCTCATAGATTTTGTTTTGATACAAAAGGAAGAGGTAAGAAGTATAAAAAAGGAACAGAAAAATGAAAAATGAACCGTTAGAAACACAGGAAGATAGAGATAGATATAAGAGAATATTAAATGAAGAACTAGAGACAGCAAAAATAGAGGAATTGTACAGTGTGGATGAAAAATGGAATTTGATGTAAAGGAACAAATGGAAAAATGTGTCAGAATGTGAGCAAAAAACGAGTAAAAGCAAAATAAATGGTTCCGATGAGGAGTGTGAAAGGGAATTAAAAGAGAGGAATAAGTTGCGTTTGTTAGCGACAGAAGCAAATAAACTAAAGTATACAATACAACGGGAAGCATGTAAGAAACTGCTTAGGGAAAAGAAGAGGAAAGATAAAGAAAGACAGCTTTGTGGAAGGCAGATATAAATAACCTAGAAGTGTGGGAAAGAAACGTATTAAGGAAAATTTTTGGAGGGAAACAACAATGGGAAAGAAGAACAAACCAAGACTTTGCAGATATGTATAAAGGATCAAGTATCACAGGATATATAAGAGCGCAAAGGTTGAAATGGTTAGGGCATGTAGAAAGGATGGCAGAAAATAGGATTCCAAAAATTATTGTTAGCAGAAGCATAGGAGGCAAGAAGAGGAGGGGGAGACCGAAGGAAAGATGGAAGAGCGAAGTAGAAGCTGATCTGAGAAGCTTAGGTGTACAAAAGCATGTGTCAAAATAAGAAGGCCTGTAGAGCTATGTATATATACAGGGTGTCCCAGAAGTCGACGTCAAGCCGAAACCAGGTGATAGGCAAAGTCATAACAGCTATCAGAAAAATATTTAAAAAAATTTTATGTATGTGTTTTGAAAATTATAGGTCTTTGAAAAAAATATAGAAATTTCACACCCTACGGCAGTCTATCAACTCCTGTTACTACAAATATTATCTTTTTTTGGATTTTATTTTTACAATGTAATGATGAATAATGCATCTTCAAACTGGTGTCTCAACCTTACTGCCAACTTTTCTCGTTCAGAAAAAATTGCCACTTATTTCCCAACCAAGTATTCCAAAGTAAAACTTTGCTCAACTTTAACTGGCTGTACTGGAAAAAAATGTACTACGAGAGTTTGGCAAGTAACCTTAAAAGTTGGCGCATTTAATAAGGATTCCAAAATGGTATAACACTTAGAAGATTACTCGTTAACTTATGCACAATTTTTATTTGAAGAAAAACTGATGAACATTTTTCAAAATTAAACAGCGATTATGAAAACGCACAAGGACCCTTAAGGATAACTGTTTGCACAACAGTGGGCGTCAAAATGCTGCTGATGATGATTTACCTCTACAGCAAAAGCTCAAACTGTTTTCCTTCAGCCGCAATACACGCTCGACATCTTCTTAAAAAATATCGGGTTATTAAACGAGCGAATCCACGGTTATTAACAAACTCAGCTGCTTCCAATAGTCTTTGCCGTAGCTCAGCTACATTTTGAATCGGCTTGAAATACACTTTTTCTTTTACAGTTCCGCAGTAAAAAAAATCTAACGGATTCAAATCTGGTGACCGGGCTGGCCACGGTATTGTACCAGACCGCCCTATCCATCTGCCTGGAAAGTTTTGATCGAGATACTCTCTCACTGAGAGTGCATAGTGCGCTGGGCAACCATCATGCTGAAACTACATGTCCCTGTAAATACTCAGTGGCACGTTCTCCAATAAATTTTCTAAATGATTTTGCAAAAAACCTGAATAAACCTCAGCAGTCAAAGTCTCTGGGAACTCAAACGGACCGATTATTTTACCATTTAAAATTCCTGTCCAATGGGTTATCTTGAAGCGATATTGAGATTTATCTTCTCTCATCAAATGTGGGTTTGCTACGTGCCAATCGTGTAAGTTATGCAGGTTCATGTACCCATCTTTCTTAAATGTGGTCTCATCCGACCATAAAATTTTTTCAAAGAACTGTGGATCTTCCCTATGTCTTTCTAACATTGTGCGACAAAAAGCAACTCGGGGCTCATAATCCCGGGGCAGAAGAGCTTGAACACGCTGTACGTGGTATGGATGGAGCACGTTTTTTTGCAAGATTCTATGGGCTGTACTTTTGGGCACACCTGTTTTTAGTTCTATTGCACGCACTGAAGTACTCGGGTCTTCTTCGACAGCTCCTAGCACCACGTCTTTATTTGGATTTTTTGAAAAATCATGTACAAAATTTATTGGTGGACGTGCCACTGAGTATTTACAGGGACATGTGGTTTCAGCATGATGGCTGCCCAGCGCACTATGCACTCTCAGTGTGAGAGTATCTCGATCAAAACTTTCCAGGCAGATGGATAAGGCGGTCTGGTACAATACCGTGGCCAGCCCGATCACCTGATTTGAATCCTTTAGATTTTTTTACTGGGGAACTGTAAAAGAAAAAGTGTATTTCAAGCCGATTCAAAATGTAGCTGAGCTACGGCAAAGACTATTGGAAGCAGCTGAGTTTGTTAATAACCGTGGATTCGCTCGTTTAATAGCCCGATCTTTTTTAAGAAGATGTCGAGCGTGTATTGCGGCTGAAGGAAAACAGTTTGAGCATTTGCTGTAAAGGTAAATCATCATCAGCAGCATTTTGACGCCCACTTTTGCGCAAACAGTTATCCTTAAGGGTCCTTGTGCGTTTTCATAATCGCTGTTTAATTTTGAAAAATTTTCATGTTTTTTTCAAATAAAAATTGTGCATAAGTTAACGAGTAATCTTCTAAGTGTTATACCATTTTGGAATCGTTATTAAATGCGCCAACTTTTAAGGTTACTTGCCAAACTCTGGTAGTACATTTTTTTCCAGTACAGCCAGTTAAAGTTGAGCAAAGTTTTACTTTGGAATACTTGGTTGGGAAATAAGTGGCAATTTTTCCTGAACGAGAAAAGTTGGCAGTAAGGTTGAGACACCAGTTTGAAGATGCATTATTCATCATTACATTGTAAAAATAAAATCCAAAAAAAATTAATATTTGTAGTAACAGGAGTTGACAGACTGCCATAGGGTGTGAAATTTCTATATTTTTTTCAAAGACCTATAATTTTCAAAACACATACATAAAATTTTTTTAAATATTTTTCTGATAGCTGTTATGACTTTGCCTATCACCCGGTTTCGGCTTGACGTCCACTGCTGGGACACCCTGTATATATATATATATAATTTTTTTCTGCTTCCTTGGGTTACCGACCTGCGATATAGTACGGTCATTATATGATACGGTATAAATATCAGTCGAATCTGGTTCAGCTGTATAAATTACACATTTGATCAATGTGCAATAACCTAAAAAGCTCTAATCGTTTGAATGTAGCGAATCTAAAAAATCACACTGTCGATACTGTCACATAAGTACACATAATGTGACTGGGCTATATATTTTCAGTTCGAAGTGCCATAATATTCGAACTTCGATTCACATGTTTCCTGTTGCCTATAAAAAAAAAAATAAAACCGATCTGATTCATGCTATGAGTTTTATTGATTTTTGAAAAAAGGAAGTAATGTTGCCGCACCGTTATTTTCCGAGGATAAAAGGTAGCCTATACCCTACCCCAGACCATAATCTATCTCTGAACCAAATTTCATGCAGATCCGTTCAGTCATTTTGGCGTGATTGAGAAACAAACGTCCACACTTGCTTATTCATAATATTAAAGCAGATATTACATATTTATCGCCGTATCAATTATAATCCCGTAAGTTTTGTCTTTACTCACCGTGGTATGGAATGACATCTGGAGTAACCGGTGCTGAGGCAACCACTGTCTTATAGTTGAACGGTTGAGGCGCTTGAGGCCACACAAACGGAGTTGGAGTCAACGGGGTCCCATACGGTTGCCATCCATAGGGATACCTACATAACAAATTCGAATTTTTACACATCTATCCGAGATATAGAGAGCTGGATCAAATTTAAAAATAACGTTTTCAAGTATTTGAGTGTGAAATATGTTTACTCTACAAAGTAAACAGGACTTTCGAAAAATATCCGATACACGTAACAGAGACTAGCGTTGGATAGGTACATCTTTCATTGAAGCCGTGTCAAAATTTCACGACAATCGTACCACTTCACGCGGAGTTATCGCGCTCAAAGTGACAGTACCTTTTTAGCATCCGTCGAGAAACAAACCATCAGATCGGAATAGGACCTCTGAAGAAGCTTGCCACTCGTGCTAGCGAAACGTTAGGAAGAAATTCCAACCGACGACGGCATTTAAACCCGAATCAAGACAGCAGTTTATCAACTGGCCGCGAAAGCCTTAACCAATTTGTCAATAAAACCAGACATTCTCAAACCGGGGGTATTTTCGTCTAATATGATTAGACTAATGGTGGAACAAACACTGTTAACTCACCGTGTATTATATTCCATTTATGGTGATATTTTAACATTCTATGTGACCTTTGTTTGAAATTTGGTTAAATCATACTACTATTCTGCTCCCTTGTTTGCAAGAATTCGCTTCCACAAGATTTATCTACTCACTATGAAATTATGCTGCGAACCTCAACAATACAAATAATAGATAAATGCGTACCTATTTTGAGCAGCTGAAGGATCAGGTGTAGTTTCAGTGCTTTCAGCTATAGTGTAGTCAGTCTGCGTTTCAGTCGACGTTCCAACAGTTTGGTTGTTATTCTGCTCAATAGGTGTCGAAGGCTGCATTTGCTGTAATAATCAAATTTTGTTAGAATGCATTTCTTTATTTGATACAAAAAACAATATGCCACTAAAGAAACCTGGAGAGAGCTTAATATCGTCTAACCGCGGATTTGAAAAATGTTGATCAGATTTTTCCTTAGTGCAAAGTCCACGATAGATTAAAAATACAGTTACAGTAAGTTTAAAAGGTTATACAGGGTGTCCCAGAAGTCGACGTCAAGCCGAAACCGGGTGATAGGCAAAGTCATAACAGCTATCAGAAAAATATTTAAAAAAATTGTATGTATGTGTTTTGAAAATTATAGGTCTTTGAAACAGATATAGAAATTTCACACCCTACGGCAGTCTGTCAACTCCTGTTACTACAAATATTAACTTTTTTTGGATTTTATTTTTACAATGTAATGATGAATAATGCATCTTCAAACTGGTGTCTCAACCTTACTGCCAACTTTTCTCGTTCAGGAAAAATTGCCACTTATTTCCCAACCAAGTATTCCAAAGTAAAACTTTGCTCAACTTTAACTGGCTGTACTGGAAAAAAAGGTACTACGAGAGTTTGGCAAGTAACCTTAAAAGTTGGCGCATTTAATAACGATTCCAAAATGGTATAATACTTAGAAGATTACTCGTTAACTTATGCACAATTTTTATTTGAAAAAAAACTGATGAAAATTTTTCAAAATTTCCTAATTAAACAGCGATTATGAAAACGCACAAGGACCCTTAAGGATAACTGTTTGCACAACAGTGGGCGTCAAAATGCTGCTGATGATGATTTACCTTTACAGCAAATGCTCAAACTGTTTTCCTTCAGCCGCAATACACGCTCGACATCTTAAAAAAGATCGGGTTATTAAACGAGCGAATCCACGGTTATTAACAAGCTCAGCTGCTTCCAATAGTCTTTGCCGTAGCTCAGCTACATTTTGAATCGGCTTGAAATACACTTTTTCTTTTACAGTTCCCCAGTAAAAAAATCTAAAGGATTCAAATCAGGTGATCGGGCTGGCCACGGTATTGTACCAGACCGCCTTATCCATCTGCCTGGAAAGTTTTGATCGAGATACTCTCTCACTGAGAGTGCATAGTGCGCTGGGCAACCATCATGCTGAAACCACATGTCCCTGTAAATACTCAGTGGCAATTTTTTCAAAGAACTGTGGATCTTTCCTGTGTCTTTCTAAGATTGTGCGACGAAAAGCAACTCGGGGCTCATAATCCCGGGGCAGGAGAGATTGAACACGCTGTATGTGGTAGCAAACCCACATTTGATGAGAGAAGATAAATCTCAATAACGCTTCAAGATAAACCATTGGACAGGAATTTTAAATGGTAAAATAATCGGTCCGTTTGAGTTCCCAGACACTTTGACTGCTGAGGTTTATTTAGGTTTTTTGCAAAATCATTTAGAAAATTTATTGGAGGACGTGCCACTGAGTATTTACAGGGACATGTGGTTTCAGCATGATGGCTGCCCAGCGCACTATGCACTCTCAGTGAGAGAGTATCTCGATCAAGACTTTCCAGGCAGATGGATAAGGCGATCTGGTACAATACCGTGGCCAGCCCGATCACCTGATTTGAATCCTTTAGATTTTTTTACTAGGGAACTGTAACAGAAAAAGTGTATTTCAAGCCGATTCAAAATGTAGCTGAGCTACGGCAAAGACTATTGGAAGCAGCTGAGTTTGTTAATAACCGTGGATTCGCTCGTTTAATAACCCGATCTTCTTTAAGAAGATGTCGAGCGTGTATTGCGGCTGAAGGAAAACAGTTTGAGCATTTGCTGTAAAGGTAAATCATCATCAGCAGCATTTTGACGCCCACTGTTGTACAAACAGTTATCCTTAAGGGTCATTGTGCGTTTTCATAATCGCTGTTTAATTAGGAAACTTTGAAAAATTTTCATCAGTTTTTCTTCAAATAAAAATTGTGCATAAGTTAACGAGTAATCTTCTAAGTGTTATACCATTTTGGAATCCTTATTAAATGCGCCAACTTTTAAGGTTACTTGCCAAACTCTCGTAGTACATTTTTTTCCAGTACAGCCAGTTAAAGTTGAGCAAAGTTTTACTTAGGAATACTTGGTTGGGAAATAAGTGGCAATTTTTCCTGAACGAGAAAAGTTGGCAGTAAGGTTGAGACACCAGTTTGAAGATACATTATTCATCATTACATTGTGAAAATAAAATCCAAAAAAAGTTAATATTTGTAGTAACAGGAGTTGATAGCTGTTATGACTTTGCCTATCACCCGGTTTCGGCTTGACGTCGACTTCTGGGACACCCTGTATAATGGACTAAGGTACTTACCAAAGGCATGCCGACATAGTTTTCGATTGGTTCGGACGTGGCAGGAAGTACTGATACTAAACTGCTTTCACTTTTGGTACGTTTCTTATCTTTGTTCTTTTTCTTGTGAGATCTCTGCGGATGTCTGACGTCTACCGGAGGTTTTTCAGGTGAAAGAACTAGATTCTTCATGAATCTAAAAACGTGCGCAATTGAATATTACGAATATGATAAAACGTCCCCTTCGCGGACGAATAAGTAACCAAAGAAGCAGCGCAAATCAGGATTTAAGCATGAAAATACGCAAAGTGAAGACCAGTTAAATGAGGCTGAAACACCTGACTTACCATTTAATATATCCTCAAAAATAAGAATTTATTGACATTGACTGATAATGAAAACCTTTACAATTTGTTGAACGTAGATGAAAGTTTGTATGTTGCAGATCCAGATTTAGGCCAGACAATTGAAAATCCAGTTGCAATACAAGAACTTTCCGAAGATTCTGATGTCGATGAGGTTCCAGTACCTTGAGAAGCTATTCCAAATTATGGTATAGCTCAAAAGTTTTGTCGAAAATCAGGGAGCTTTTTTCTAAATTAGAAAAACGATTTCAACAACAAAATTCAAAGTTATACAATCTCTTTGATTTCGTTTAAATTATAAGATTTTTGTTAAAGAATACCTAAAGAGCCAGCACTATTGTTATGACAATAGGGTATATTGTTTGGGTTTTATTTTTGAATATAATAATCACGCAATTACATTATCTTAATGGCAAAATTCTGTCTCGTTGGAGAATAATATAAAGACAACAAATTGTATATGATGACAGTCGATGTATTTGCTTTATCAGCGCTACTGATAGATATAGAATGCAAACATAGGTGAACACTGTATGCCTAAATTATTAGAGGTTCATATAGGTGGTTACTGCCTTGTCATTTATCGTTTGGAATTGCATGTGGTGGTGTAAATTGAAGCCGTGCGTTTGCGAATAGTTGTTTTGGTTTGCAATATCTGCGAGCAAAATATAATTGCCGAGTATCTGTGGTAATTAACTTGTAAGTATATATCGATTTAAGTGTGAAAAGTACCGGAATAAAAATTTACTCCTAGCTAAACCAGCTATTCACGTTTATAATGAATATATTACATAATATACGCAATCTGATAACTAGTTTTCCAAGCATTCAAAAAAACGATTTTCATAAAATACTGAATGTTTGACTATTTTGGATATCTATGACAAACTCTGTAAACTTAGAACTATTCTTTTTCTTTTCTCAGTACCTGACCTGAAAAATCTTGATGATACTTTTCATTGTATTCTGGCGTTCAACAACATTTGTAGCCACCTTAATCTAAGTCGTATTGAACTTTCCAATAGATAAAAATTGTTTGTCAACACGTTATTTTCCAAGTTACTGATTCCAACAGTATTTTTGTAAATATTTCCCACCAAAAGAGTAAACAAGAATTCAGCAACCATTCAAATATCATCTGTGAAGATAACAAATATTCCAGTAGCGCAGATTTTCAAAATAGCATTACTTGCGAGGTCGGTAAATTAAGTAGTGAGACTGGTAACGTAGCATTTGATTTGGCAACCTTTATCAGGCCTACGGAGATAGTGTTTTGTCAAGAGCCCGGGCATTTTCAGAAAGGAGAGAGTTTAAGGTCTTCATCTTCAAGAACTGTCAGAATTCGGCTTCTACCTCAAGGCCAAACGGTCAATCAATACTTTTACCAATCTTTAAGACCTGGGATATGGGAATGTCGATAAACGAGTTTTTGGCCAGTAAAAACATGCATACGGCTCCTCAGCCTCCGTTTTCGACTGACTTCAATCCTCGTGACTTTCTTCTCTTTCCGAAGTCGAAAAATTACCCCAAATAAGTAGTATATTTTGAGGGTGACAATATGAAATCAGTATCATCACTTAATTTACAGACCTCGTATCCGAATTTACGTGCCTATTTTTAGTTATATACAGCAACGGACAAAAGTATATAGACACATATATATGAATATTTACCTAAATACCTTTAGAAAACGAATTCATTCTTCATTGCTCAATGAACAAATGCGTTATTAGTAGAAAAACTAAATTCCTTGTTTTTACATTATCTGCAATGAACACAATACACGTCTGAATATAAGCACTTTTTTATGAGGGACAAAAATACGTAGACAAATTCTTTTCAACATTAGTTTAGTACAGTTTCGTGTCAGAAGAGGATAAGTTTGTGTTGATCAAGTATTGCGGAATAAGTTGAGTGATTTTAAGATCATGCCGCGTGCTCCAGAAATTTCTTTCGATGTGAAAACTAGGATCATTGAGTTATACAAAGATGGTCAACGTCAAGTCGACATTGCCAAAAATTTGAAGCTGAAGCGTAAAGCAGTTTGGGCAATATTGAACAAATATAAACAAAAAGGTATCTTGGACGCCTCTAAGAGAAGTGGTCGGCCTAGAAAACTAAATGCTAGATCAGTTAGATTAATAAAAGTAATTTCGTCCTAAGACCCGTTTAAAACCCCAAGACAAATAAAAGCCGAAATCGAGACGAAAGGAATTGCCAGCGTTTCTACGAAAACTATAAGTAGAATATTAAATGATTTGAAGTTATTTGCACGTCGCCTGTTTCAGTGACGAATCCAAGTTCAATATGTTTGGATCAGATGGTGTTCATTAGTCCTAGTGGACAAAGATTGCACCCCAAGTACACTTTGCCCAGTGTTAAACATGGAGGCGGGTCTGTTATGGTTTAGGGGTGTTTTTCGGGGTTTGGAATGGGACCTTTACATACAATAGATGGCATTATGGATAAGTTTGTATACACAGACATACTAAAGCATGTCACGTTACCCTATATGGAAGACAATATGCCCTTAAGATCAATCTTCCAGCAAGATAATGACCCGAAGCACACTTCAAATCTCCCAAAGAAATTCTTTCTGGATGAAAAAATACCAGTACTCAAATGGCCTTCACAGTCTCCCGATACAAACCCCATTGAAAATCTATGAGAATACTTAGATAAGCAAATACGATATAAAAATTATTCAAACAACGATGAACTTTTTGCCGCTTTAGAGCAAAAGTGGAGACAGATCGATGAAAATTATATCAAGAAACTTCTACAATCTATGCCGAGACGATGCCAGGCGGTGATTGATAATAATGGTTATGCTACAAAATATTAACACAAACATGGTTGGTTTTTTATAATTCAATGAACTTTGCTTCTTTTTTCTATAATTGTTTTGCTTGTATCATAGTTCCAGTTTTTTTCAATTAATTTTATTATAAGTGTGTATTATGCTATAACGAATTATGTATATAAGTTGGTGTAATAATAGAGTTAAAAAGTTAAAAAATAAATACAGCACAATATTAAGTTGTCTATATACTTTTGTCCATTACTGTACATATGAGATTCTGAACTTGTGTGACGATCTTTATATATGTATTTTAGTATTAATTTAGTTTTTGTTCCTGGTTTTTCTTTTTCGCTGTTCTTATCCTAATTCAAGTGTGGCTTATTCTATATCTCTTTAAGACCAAGCGAACAATAAAGAATTTATTTCATTTGATACAGAAACACTGTACGCTACCGAACATTACGAGATAGCAACGAACTCTAATCAGAAAAACGATTACATCCACAGTATAATCATTGAATGCAGGAAAGTCAAAAAAATGGACATGTACGATCACCGACCTGGATCCGCATTCGATAACAGCAGATTCGGGCACGTGGATGCATCGGCGTCGTTCTTCTGCACGCGCAGACTCAACATAGGCAATCGACGAGCTGCGAACGTAACCTCAAAATACCAACAAAAACAATTCGTGTGTGCGAACATGAGCGACAAACGCAGCGGGTCGATATGCAAGCTGAACGGGGTAGAAGGGAAGGCCCCTTTTCTCATTGGGGTAGCAGGGGGCACGGCCAGCGGTAAGAGCACAGTGTGCAAGAGGATCATGGAGAAACTCGGACAGGCTGATATGGATCAGAAGCAAAGACAGGTCGTGTGCATTTCACAGGACAGCTTTTATAGGTAACTGCGTTGACCTTTTTTTGGGCACTAGTATACACTAGTATTTAGTTATATTTGGACGGTGCTTGACATAGTTTGAAAGTTGTTGTTTTATGATTCATATATCGGAATTATTGATATCAGGACACCAGGAAATGTAATAAACAGTTGACAATAACGTTGTGGTTGACAAGGAGATAAAATAACGTCATTATGATAAAAGATTAATATTTTTGAGTCTTTTGATAAATACACAGTAGAATGCATATATTGTTAAACAAATATTAGCTTAATGATGGAAGAATTATGATATTTGCTGTTGGTACACATTACACTGAGGCATTTTCCAAAATTTTTATTTAAACGAGAAGATTTCGCGCCAAAATTGGGACGTCATAAATTCAAGCGTGACGCAATAAGTTTATCACAACCTGTGGAATGTTATTTTATTTCTATCTCGGTTATGCTTCTGTCAGATGTTAAAAAGAACAATAGTTATTCCTGTTTATAGAGGAGGTCCAAGTGACCCATAAGTTAAATTACTGCTATAGCAAAAATAATAGAAAGAATAGTTCAAATTAGATTAAGAACCTACAAAATTATAAGTGGCAACCAATTTGGATTTCAAAAACAAAAAAAATACAATTTATACTATTTTCGCATTACTCCAAGAGTTACTCAAATTTAAATGATAAACAGATTTCAATAGCTCTTTTTTCAACTTTTCCAAAGCTTTTGACTGTGTAAATCATGATATACTATTAAAAAATTTCGCAGATAGGTTGTACTGGATTTTCACTCAATTGGTTTGAAACGTATTTATATAATCGATCCCAAATTGTAAAATTATGAAGACATATTCCAAATACGTGATATATAAACGCAGGGGCACCTCAAGGATCAGTACTAGGTCCGATCCTATTCTTAGTCTGTATAAATGACTTAATCAACTTAAACATAAAAATGATCAAAACTGTGCCGACTTGTCCGCGAATAAAATCGCAAGCATTTTCAGTGAGCTGTTAAAGTATTTCCAGAGTATTTACTCACGCTACATTCTGCTTTATTCCATTTCAACACCTATATTTTTATTTAGGGACCTGACTCCGAAGGAGATCGCCAAGGCCGAACAAGGACAATACAATTTCGACCATCCGGACGCATTCAATGAGACCTTGATGTACGAAACATTGAAGGACGTGTTAGCCGGGAAGATCGTACAGATACCATCCTACGATTACAAGCATCACACATTGAAAAAGGACGAAATACTGACGATATACCCCGCGGACGTGGTTTTGTTTGAAGGAATATTGGTATTTTACTTTCCGGAGGTTCGCAAGCTTTTCCATATGAAGTTGTTCGTTGATACCGATTCTGATACCAGGTATGCCTATTATTGTACACTCTTTTAACTTAAACTCAAGCTTTCGACGGACTATGTCATCATCATTAGGAGCTAGAAACAAACTATGGAAAGTAACAACAATAAGCAATTTAAAAGGAGTATCATTACCTACTAAGTCGGCGAGATTGTTGCTGAAATTGATATTGGACGAAGTAAACGAATTTTCCGGTAAAGATGATTGTTCGAAAGTGTGTAAATCTTGAAATTATTCTAAATCCGTTAGTGTTTTTTGGAAAAAAACATAGCTATGGTTTTACCAGTAATTAATAATTAAAAAATTCTTCCTAATCTAACCTGAACAATCCAGTTCTTTGCTTGTTGACTATGTGTCCACTTCGTCTAAGAACAATTTCAGCAACAATCTCGCCGACTTAGTAAGTAATGATACTCCTTTTAAATTGCTTATTGTTGCTACTTTCCCAATTTTGTTTATAGCTCCTGATGATGATGGCATAGACCGTCGAAAGCTTGAGTTTAAGATAAAAGAGTGTACTTTTGCAAAACTTTGCCTTCGTCCCGAAGAAATTCAACGATATATATATATATATATATATATATATATATATATATATATATATATATCGTACAGTAAGTACAAGTACAGAGTTAATCTATTTGACGCCCTTTTCTAGGCTGGCGCGCAGAGTTCCACGAGACATCAACGAACGCGGTCGAGACCTGGACCAAGTCCTCAGCCAATACATGAACTTCGTGAAACCAGCTTTCGAAGAATTCTGCTCGCCCACAAAAAAATTCGCCGACGTCATCATACCGAGAGGTGCCGATAACAGTGTCGCTATCGATTTGATAGTGCAGCATATCAGGGATATCCTGAATAATAAAAGGAATTCCGAGGAGAGGTCTATCAGTCCGCCTAAGGTCACTGTCACACCTGTCGGTTCTCCCTCTAAGAAAGTTAATGCCAGTGCGGATATAATATTTCACAGGCCGCATTAGGAGGGTTTAGGTTGAGGAATGGCGATGTAAGAGGCTACCAGATTTTATAGGATTGCTTTAAAGCTAAAGAGTAAAATAATTTTAGAATAATCAAAGAGCACACCAATTGCATACAAACCTCAAATTGAGGTAGTCTCAGATATTGTTATTTTGGTCATATAGGTGTATAGATGATAAGAGAATCGTGTAGTTTGTTATTGTAGCTATTAATTGTTGCCAATGATTTATTTATTATTTTTTGATTTGGAGAGACTTAGAAAGTGTGAATTTGACGTGATTTGAATTTCGGTTATGTACTTATTAGAATATCTTTAAACCAAATTGTCAATTCTCTTGACGGTGAATGGATTATGCGTATAAGGCCTCAAATCAAGAAAACTACATTGACGATTTTATACTGAGTGTTTAGAAACTCTTTTTGTTTTACTAAAGATATTTAATCCGTTTTATGAAGCATGATTATGAAATTTAGCAAATATGCTTTGCTTATGACACTCATGATTTTTATTATACATATTTTTTGCATTGAGATGCATATCGTATAGTCACAGTATTTTTTGAACTTTTCTATTCCTACATAGAATATGAAACTTAAAGCAGTTACTTATTTTTCTATTACTAAGAATGTACATGGATAACATGTAAGTCCAGAGTCTCGAAGACAATGTATGGAGATGAGGTCTCAGCTTGCCAATATGTAAATTATTATTTTTAGGTCCATCGATAAGCACAATTTAACTTGAACAATAACTATATTAAAAATAGCACTAGCACTACATAGGGTAAACATCTTGACACATATCTAGTCTACAAATCTAGATAGACAGATCAATTTTTTCACTTTATTTACTTTGGCCAAAGATACTTCTATCACATAGCTCATCGTGATAAAATGATTGGTCTCAAAAGTTTTACATCTTATAAATGCTTTGTTTTTGTGATATCAAAGTTCAAAATATATTCTTGAAAATGATAAATATCGTGTTATTATTCCTTCTCCACATACAGGGTGGCCATATGTAAGAATGAACGCTTATTTTATAGAAAGTACAAAATTTCAATTTCATCATCCTGGCTTTCTGATTGAAATGTTCAAAAACCAAGGGGAGCTTTCTGGAAATAATGTATGAAAAAATGTGTGATATCACTCACCTATAAGGCAAGGGCCAAGGTTTCGCATCATCCTCAGGAGAGAGATCAGAATAGTTCACAGTCTTCTTCTCTACTTCTTTGGTCAAGTATATAATACACTTGTTCTGGTCTTTGAGCAACTCCTGTATGTAGCAGTCGTGTTTTGTACCGAATGGGTCATTGTAAATGCATCTGGTACCCAGGATCAGTTTGTCATCGCCATAATACCAGTCACTCAGTCTCAGTTCTGAAAATCATCGATATTTCGAACTCCATGTTTTGGGAATCAGTGGTATTGCCAGCGTGGCAGTTGGAGGTAAAATTTCTCCCTAACCGGCGGCTGAACAATTACTCATAACACAAACGGATTGTACAAAGGCAACAAAATATGCGCATTTCTCAGATTTCTTGCTAAATATATCAAAAACTTACTAGAGTTTTATATGCTCGGAAAAATATTGTAATTTCTTTTTTTCTTTTTCAAAAAGGACCCCATTTAACAAATCTGTATGTTGCCAAGACCAAAATTGTGTCAAAAAGTATTCAAACAACAACAATTACACAAATAACACCCCCTAAAATGCTTTGAAATTTTGTTAATGGGTGTGTGTGAACAATATTTAGGAACTTTTTTTCTCATCTTGTTTTTTGAGGTCCAAAAGGGCATATTTTACACTGTTCAAATATTAAATTATAAGTTGAAAACTATCAAGTCTAGAAAAAAGTTCATATGAACCTATTAAGAATGGTCCAAAGATACATTGTCTAGAGCAAAAAAAAACATACATTAAAAACAAATATACTAAGTGACATATAAATCCGAACACCCAGTTTAAATGGTTTTATTTTAATAAAAGTAGGGTGAATGTATTTATCTTACTGTAAATAACAAGTGAAAAAATGTTCAGCCTTATCAGTTGGACATTCCGGTTTTTATACTGTTTTTTTTTAATTCACTAACGCTCTAAAAATGAATATTTCAGCCGCAGTAAAGAATCAACGTTGGCGGATTTTGGTTCTTGACATCCTTTACGATCGGCTACGATGCCTAGAGTACGGAGACCTGTACGATTTCGTCAACTTAGTGAGTTTGATAGTGGCCGTATAGTGGGACTTCGGGAAGCTGGACTTTCTTTTCGGGCAATTGCAGTTAGAGTGCAAAGAAGTGTAGACACTGTGGTTAGGTGTTGTCAGGCATGGCTTCTAGAAGGCCGTACGCAAAGAGCAAGGGGCACTGGACGCCGCCGTAGAACAACAGACCGTGAATGAGAAGTTTTGGCTTGTTTTCATACCGGCCACACTGGGTCCTCCCTTTAACTCGAGAACACCGACGTAATCGCCTTGAGTGGTGCAGACAACGGTCACTCTGGGATCAGGAATGGAACAGCATTGTCTTTAGTGACCAGTCTCGATTTTGTTTGGGCATGCACGATGGTCGTGCCAGGGTTAGAAGGCGACGTGGTGAAAGGAGGAATCAACAGTTTTTTGTTGAAAGACATGTTCATCACACTGTTGGAGTTATGGTTTGGGGTGCTATAGCTTATGGTTCCAGGTCACCTTTAATCTTCATCAGAGGTAACATGAACGTGCAGCGTTATATCCACGAAGTTCTAGAACCCCATCTTTTACCCTATCTTGACACCCTGGCAGATCCAACTTTCCAACAAGATAATGCCCGACCACATGTTGCAAGAGTCACAATAGACTTCTTTCAACGTAATGATGTCACATTGTTACTATGGCCACCAAGATCTCCCGACTTATCCCCAATTGAGCACGTGTGGGATATGATTGGTAGGAGATTGCTCAATTTGCAACGTCCTCCTCAGACTCTAGAAGCACTTCGAGAGGAGTTGGTGGTTGCCTGGAATGAGATACAACAGGAGGACATTGACCACCTGATCAGAAGCATGCCTAGGCGCGTTGGAGAATGCGTAGCACATCAGGGTGCATCCACACATTATTAAAGGTCAAAGGGCTTTAAAGCAGTGCAATCATTTTGAAATTTTTATCATTTACTTATTATGCTTCATTAAGTACTTATACAAAATTTTATTAAAATAAAACCATTTAAACTGGGTGTTCGGATTCATATGTCACATAGTATACATTAAAGAAAATATATAAATAAGGTTGCAGTTTTGAGACTGGCAACACATAGATTCTATAAAAGGGGTCCTTTTTGAATAAAATTTTGCAAAAAAAAAAACATAATATTTTTCCAATGTGTCCTGGACGAAAATGGGATGGTGAATCTTCATCAAATTTTGAGGTAGCATTTTAATTCCCCTAAAGTTCCGTATGATCGCTTTTCAAACATATCTATTTGTTTTTGATGAAAATTAAAATTATATGGATTTTCTCAGGAACCAAATTATGGCAAAAATCATAAATTGGTTACATATAAGTAAACTAATAAAATTGAATGCTTCTAAGACAAAATGAATGCTAATAGGGAAATGAAAATACTATCACAGTTAGGTTAAATGGTGAAATAATTGAAAAAGGTAAATCAAGGGAATCACTTTGAATAAGTTATTTCAAAAATTGCCAAAAAACAAATTACTTTTATGGGGCATCTCATACATATTCCAAAAAAATATTCTACTGCATTTACTATATTGTTCAACTATCTTGTTCACTGACATTCAAGCTGTATTATCAAAATTACAAGTCATACAAAATAAAGCTATGAGATTAATATTGAATAAAAATAAGTACTCCAAAATAAAATCTGTAACAAGAATTGAATATAAAAAATTTCATATAATATTTGGTCTCTTTTTCATATTTAAAATAAAAAATCATAATTTGCCACAACAATTAGAACATCACATAGAATTGATCATTACCACAATTATTATACAAGAGGAACTATAGACTTCAATTTACAAAATTGTAATAGTAAAATAACTAGCAAAGCTATATTTCAAAAGGGATCATTTTAATTTAATAAACTAAATAATGATATAAAGCCTACTTGTAACCTAAAGATCTTTAAAAGAAAATAAATGGGACATTTCAAACTAATTTCACTCACAGAAACATGGAAATTCTAGACAGTTCCTTAAATTGATTATCATCATATTATTAAATAGCAATGGAACAATGTTGGTTCCACTGAATCTTGAAATTCATTTTAGTCAAGGCCATTTTAATTTTCATGTGGTAAATGTGTTGAGTACTGCAGACATATAATAATGGGTAACATCAAAACCTCTATTTTCCAAATATAAAGAAAACCATTCTGGAAATTAAATGGGACAGAACTTTTTCTTACCTCTCCTTACTTCTCCCCAGGTATCATACTCAATATTCCTATAAATATTGGGATCCAAAGCCTTGGCAACCTTGAAGGGAAATGGGGCCACATTCAAGGGGTTCTCTGTGTCATCCCACAAGGAATCTGGCTTTGAGGAAGGTCCTGCTTCATCTTCATTCCTAATCTTTGGTTTCAACAGTTGCATTTCTGCTTGAGTTGTTATACTGTTCTTTTCATATAGCATGTTATGGACTATGTCATCTACATTAGGGATTTTGAAGACATCTTCATATAGAAGTTTGTATACCATAGCTGAATAAAATGTTTCCATAAGATTATATTTGAAAGAGGATGGTTTTGAGAACTTACACTGACAAAAACCAGCAACTGCTATGTGATCCTTCTTATAAACTACATCATAATGATCTTTATCCATGAAACAGAGCAATATTGCTTTTTCTTTACTTCTTTTAGTTGCATCATAGATTCTTTGATCAGTAGCATCAAATATGATAACATCCCGGCTAAAAAATGCAGTCTATCACTTAAACTGTGAATAATATTCAAAATCCATAGACAAAATAACAAAAAAAAAACTGCAGGACCCTCAATAAAACTGTTTGTAGACCAAGCATCCATACATTTGGTAAATATTTTTATTGCTTCATAAACACCTCAACTTGAATGTTACAAATAATAGAAAATTACTTCTTCTTCAAGTTAAATAGCTTTTCTCACATGGTGCTTAGAACATTTTACCATATTTTCGGAGGGTAATGAAGACTTACTTGTATTTCCTACTGATGATATCAATTTCAGCTTCCCCACACACAACCATGTGCTTCTCCAGCTGGTCCAGATGCTCTAAGAATTTCTCTTCAGTCTTGAATGAATAGTGAAATAAATGGTAGTTTTTCCTACCGAAAGCTATACATTCCTTTCGTACTCTTTCATGGTACACCTGGCAGTCATACACCTGTTCACTCACAGCTCTGAACAAACAAGTCTCATCGTAGGCTACGTTTTTCCTATAGAGACCTAGCGAGTCCAGCCAACTGTCTACAGCGCCTGGATTGCGCCCCTTTTTTGATACTTTGGACATGTTCAGCAGTGCTGTGTGAAGTGAAATGCAAGTCAGAAAAAATATACGGAATGAATGAATAGACTGTTAACAGAAGAGACGGATATCGATATTGGGATATAAAGGCACTATTCATTCAAAATATTGAGTATCTTACATAAAATAAACAATCGCCAAGTCGAAGATGGGGACCCGTGTTCACTTGTTGAATCTAGTTTTGTTTATGTCTCTATACCTTTGTGTGCTTATTTGTAAACGGTTTGCTTGTTTGGACGTTAACCATCTCGTATTAACAAATATCAAGTCGAACACTCAAATATTATAGACATTAATCATAAATAGCTTACCAAGCGTACAGCTTCCACGTGATAACGTAAAAAACTATTTTTTTATGCTTTCTAGTCAGTCTTGCATTCTTTGATTTTGGAACATTTGAACTACTTCGCGCTTCGCGTCTGCGCATTGTGTCGATTTTTGTTCATTTCTTCTCTTCTCTTTTGTCTATCCTGTTGACAACTTGTACCATAGACGTAAAAATAAAATATAGATCGTTCAATAAAAACATTATAGCAAAAATGAAATAAACCTTATTTGATTTTATTTCATATAGGATATCCCAGACTGGTGCCAAGGTGCCATCCTTTTTTACCCCTTCCAGGAAATTAATCATTTTTAGTGCATAGCAAATGCGATATCATTTATCATTGATTTTAATAATTTTCTGACGATAGCTAACCATATAGTGCATTTAGGCGTTCAAGAGGGATTCGAAATACACTAGCGCCATCTATGAGATGGTTGCAGAACATCAAGTTAATTCAGAAATCGTGTTTGAAAAGAGGTAGAGTGTTTCTTTCTGCTACAACTGTGGGCATCTTCAGGTGGAATGCTTTAATTAATGTTCAAAAGCTTATACTTATTACATAAACGCTTAAAACAAATACATATACATTATGCATATTAGTAAAATATCGCCATCGAGGGTTTATCCAGTGGATGGAAAAAATAAAATGAAACAACTGGCTGAAAAATACATAAATCATCTATTATTTCCATGGCATACTATTGTGAGATAAAAATAAAAAGTTGTCTAGTGTCTGAAATCTTCATGGCGACAATTTTGTCCCACGCGAAAATTAAAATAATTTGAAGGAAATCGGAAGTGGAATAAACAACAGAGAGCGACTGTCGGCCCCTATTTTGTTGTCTCAAGGCGCTTACTAGCATATCAAACGTAGTAAACTTAAATTGAGTCATATTATTCAATAATTCCCGTGTCTGCGACACGAATTTAGAACAGCAAAGTCTGGACAAACAATATTCCGATCTCAGAGAGCTGCATGCGAATGTTTGGTGACCAAAATATAAACGGAACAGAGAAAAAAGACGTAAATATTTCAAATTCTCAGACACCAGACGTATGCCAGGATTTTTCTGATCTCTGGGATTTTCGATTCTCGGTTTGTAAGGTTGTTCGGCCCGAAAATGCCCGAAATCACACAGGATGCGTTGTTGCAGAGCGATAATAGGTGATTTGGTTTGTAGGCTTTTGTGCTAATTCATAGTACAGTAGATTTAGGCAATTATTGAAACATACTATTCTAATGTAAACTGTGTTTAATTCTCATTTGCTCTGTTTTTGACGTTTCAGGGTTTCTTGCGCATTGTTGGATATATTTTTGAATATTAAAAAAATTGGGTGGAGCCTGTAGGGGTAAGAGAGAGTATATATCAAAATTTTTGCCGTAAATGTATGATGTATTTCTATGCTTTCTATAGATTTCCCCATATATTTCCGCTCATGAGCTATTTGGCTGATTTGATTTATCAAATTCCTTTGTTATTCATGTTCCTATTAGTTAATTTTTTATATGAGAGGGGCTGACTTCTGCCGAATATAGTCTTTCATGAGCTCTGCATTGCGTGGAAAGTGTAGTCACTTGACCATTTCTGAATGCAGTTACTTGACAGGTCATTTTATAATTTCTACTCTGTCCTTATCAGACACTAAGGCCCGTATCGTCAGTCGTCCCTACAATTGTAGGGTGCGTTTATGGCCTCCTTGATTGTCATACCCCTTTCTCTCCTTCAAAAATTTCTAGATTACACTTGTCCCGTGTCAGCGTCAGCACTCTCCTATTGTGAAGATATGTTTTCTTTTTAAATTGTAGGAAATTTCAGGCTGACAAAACATGATATAACTCAAAAGCAAGCACAATTTGATGCAAATAGATGTTTGTGACATAACCTCAAAATAGAGCGCTGACACGGAGAAGTAGAAAACTATGACAATCAAGGAGGCCATAAAGGCGCCCTACAATTGTAGGGCGCCTACTTCTCCGTGTCAGAACTCTGTTTTGAGGTTATGTCACAAACATCTATTTGCATCAAATTGTGCTTGCTTTTGAGTTATAGCATGTTTTATCAGCCTGAAATTTCCTACAATTTAAAAAGAAAACATATCTTCACAATAGGAGAGCGTTGACGATGACACGGGACAATTTTTGAAGGAGAGAAAGGAGTATGACAATCAAGGAGGCCATAAACGCGCCCTACAATTGTAGGGACGACTGACGATACGGGCCTAAAAGGTGAAGGAATCACATTTTTATCTAAAATGACTGCACTAATAGGTCAACCATCATGCGTAAGCAACTTGGCAACACTGCTACGATCTGCGATGATCAAGTGCGGTTGTGCATTGGGAAAGGTGTAATGTGATGCTGAATTTCAAGAGAAAATCCGCAATTTTGACGCTTTTCCACAGAAAATTTCGGAAAACTGTTCAGTATACACAGTGAGCTAGTGATACCGCAAAAAAATGGACGTTTCCACGCAAGATTCGACCCGATAGTGATCTGTCGATCATCTGGCGCCGTCTTGACCTGGGCCAAGAAACCCATGTTTGGTTCAAGTAAAAATAACACGCAGAATTTTTTCCAGTTCGGGCGATATTGAGAATCAGCTTTGCTTTTTCAACATGATTTTGCCGTTTTATAAATCGCTGATGTTTTTGGCCCTTTTCGGGACATTCGGTAAGTGCCATTCATAAAAATCCACACTACAACTCGCTGGCGTTTCCTCGTAGTAGGCCGCGGAAATTCGATATTTGCATTGTTTACAAAGCTGGAATGCAGCCTATTTCGATCATATTTCATTTTGTGGCTTTTTCATGTTATTCAAGATCTGTGGTATATTAGCAGAATCCTTGTTTTTTCTCTACTAACTGGAGAAGCTGCTGTTATTCACCCCAATGCCACACTGCACTGACAAGTAGTTGTTCTCTCACTAGGTTAATCATAATAACAACAACTCCTAAGGTATAATTTATAATTGTATGATGCTAACTTCATTATATTTGATAAATAAACTTTGTTCTGAAATTTTGTAAATAAATAGAAGTAACTAATATAAGCTAGTAGCTACCCTTCTTGAGTATTTGAATAATCAAGAAAGCATTGGAAAACAGCTTTCACTGCAAGCAGAATGAAAACAACCAACACACAATTTCACCATCTGAGCTTGACAGTTTGATACTAGGCTACTAGATGTTTCAAAGTATTTGTCAAATGGCTATGAAATGTCATGATTGTTTATTTGCATATAGTTGAGGGTAAATCATGATCTTATAAAATCATATGTAGTGAGAGTGTAGAAAAGGACTCTCAATCTTGCACATTAACTTCAGTATATAAGACCCAACCTAATTTGAAATATATGGCAGCTCACTGATGTGACGACTGGTGGTAATGGACACCAAAATCAAATCAAATTTAGTAGGTGTGTTTAGCTACATATGCTAGCAATGTCGCTATGCCATTCTGGTGAGGGAGGGCTCTGAAAGCGCCGCTCCACTAATAATGACAGTTTTCAACCTAGGTATGTAATGTACTATTGTGCCATTACCACTGTCTTCTTTTGGTAGAGTTTTGTTCAATTGTTCTCTAGGTATTGTTTTGGTGATTAGTCTCAGAAACCTTGATTTGAATAGGATGCTGTGCTGATGATCGTAACAAAATTGAACATGCTAGGGGTTATTTTTGCAGTTCATGATGTTTTATGAAAAAATGAAGGGCATATATAACAGTAAATAGTAGTCATTTTGAACATATATGTTAATAAACTTAATATAGAATGTCCAACATCAATCCCGTCCTTTTTTGCCTCCGTGTCATAAAATGTAGTTTTTTAGATTTGCAAAATCTGACCTGCATCCATTATAACTGCAATGTAAAGAAGAAAAATAACACTTGATTATCTTACACTACAGGCTGTTAAGACAGACATGACATTGTGACATTTTTTTTTATTAACATTTGAACTTTGGAATGATTTTATGCAGGCTTCATTTCTATTTGCATTTGCAGGATTATGCTTCATTTTTTGGATACTCTTTTTACTCACATTCGCTCTTTTTTCTCCATTTAATGAGCATATTTTTAAAAAGAACCAGATTAATGATAATCAAGGAATATGCTGACCAAGAGAATAGAGTAACACAATTTTTGATAATACATATTATATCAATATTAACAGTCTTGTTGTTGCCACATACTTACCTCACTTGAGTGTAGAAAATAAAATTAAGATTTTTCGATTTTATACAAAACTTATGGCAAATGATGTCAAATTTCCCAATACACGCTATGTTGCTATGATGCAATCTCATCTTTTCTGTATTGCACAATTTTGACTTCTACAAATCACAAATGATCATAAACATACTAAATTATGTAATATTTTGCGTTTTGCATGTAGCCTTTTTTTAATATTTTATAGATAATCTATAAACGAGGAAGCATGAAAAAATAGCCTATATTTAGATGGATCTGACTATCGTAAATATGAGCAGTGATGCAAAAACGCGTAAGCAATCAAGCTTGTGGCATGTTTGCAAATATTTTCCAGTTTCTTGAGTTCACTTCCAATGCTGTATTTTTAGATCTAACTAGTGAAACTGATAATGGAAAAGCTGTTTTATGTTGTCATTTGTTGCATATCTGCATACTTAGATGTTGATGCTTACAAAAACTATAAATAAAAGAAGTGCAAAGATTTTTAGTAACCAAAGTGATTTGCTTGTATTGTGAGAGATAAGATTTAACACGTCAGAAGGCTTCCACTTACACCATAATTTTCCAGCTTTGTAATCAGTATCCTATGGTCCACACAATCACATACCTACTTTTGACAGGTGAAAAAAAATTTTCGATATTTTTCGCGGTTTCAATGCTAGATGACGCTCTATTTTTAATAGGTATATACACCAGCAATGCCCATGCTGCGGTAGCGAATACACCCCAAGTGACAACAAAATGTGAGTACTACAATAGTACCTGCAGCAGTCAACAAGGTTGTGAAGAGGTCGAAGAATGTGGACACCCAGAAGAGGGACAACAGAACCACTGTTACGTGTTGTGGACTATGGAGAATGGAACAATCACTGTCTCATTGAAGGTGAGTATTTTAGTTTAGGCAACGTGTACAGCTACAAAACGAGTTCACGACACGTGTACAACAGTGCTAAGTTGGCATCTTATAGAAAAACCTACAAAATATCAAAAAATATATAATACCCGTGCTGATGTGTTTTTTCAAGCAGCGGGGATGATTGCCGTTAAAAAGTCGACGCCTGTATCAAGTTTTATTCTATTCTATGTTCAGTTTGTCTCGTACCATAATTGGATATCATTTTTCATTCTATCAGGGTTGTTTCCTGAACGCTGCCGATTGTGTAAACCAAACAAAATGCGTGGAGAAATCACAGAATCCCAAGAACAACTTGTTGTATTGCTGCTGTGAAGGGAACATGTGCAACACGAATTTTTCTTGGGAACCTGCACCTACGGAACCACCGCCGCCTAGTAGTAAGTGCAGCTGTTTTTTTTTCGCATTTTTTACTATACAGGGTGTTACAGAACGTATGCGAAATCTTTTGGTTTCATGCAAGCGTTTATACAAATGAAAAAAGTAATTAGATACAATTTTGTAGTCATTTTTGATGTGCTAAAAGTCAAATATAATTTTTGCCGAGTGTTATCATTTCGGGAAGTTGGTAGTGTGACATGTTCTTTCAGATGATCATTCAGAATCTACGCTTTTAGTTTCATGAAAGAAGCTATTTTGTTTTTTTTTTTTTGTTCTATTATTGGCACTGGTCGATGACCAACTGGCCAGATCCTTATGTTCAGTATAATGTTATGCTTCAATAGAAAATAGAACATCCATTACTTAATATTACTATTGTATATTATTTCTATTATAGTTACATAGAGTATGCGAACACATATTTCTCTTTTTTTTTTAACCAATAATTTTTGCTTATTTTTTCCTTTTCTCTATTTTGTTTATAAGATTGTTATATATATATATGTATATTACTTTATACTGATCTGCTTTTTTTTTTTTAATATTTTCTTTTTTTCATTTTTTCAAACAAACTTACTTTAATTTACATTTTATAATGTTAGGCCTACTTTCTGACAATGCTTGTATAAAAGTTCGTAAACTTGCTGGTTCTCAGAACTGAGAATTGATTCTAAATTTAGAGGCAAAGGAAGGTGATTCGCTAAAATTTTATACAATTCAGAATTTTCGTTGTTAGAATTTGTACATCTAATATTAAGTGTTGCAAGGTTCCTATATTTCCACAACTTAGGTAACTGCACATACAGCGGACAAACGTTTGGAAACATTCTTTGTAATTCTTAAAAAGTGCGCTGATTTTTTATTTTTATTATTAAGGACTATTTATATATATACTAAGTGACATATAAATCCGAACACCCAGTTTAAATGGTTTTATTTTAATAAAATTTTGTATAAGTTCTTAATGAAGCATAATAAGTAAATGATAAAAATTTCAAAATGATTGCACTGCTTTAAAGCCCTTTGACCTTTAATAATGTGTGGATGCACCCTGATGTGCTACCCATTCTCCAACGCGCCTAGGCATGCTTCTGATCAGGTGGTCAATGTCCTCCTGTGGTATCTCATTCCAGGCAACCACCAACTCCTCTCGAAGTGCTTCTAGAGTCTGAGGAGGCCGTTGCAAATTGAGCAATCTCCTACCCATCATATCCCACACGTGCTCAATTGGGGATAAGTCGGGACATCTTGGTGGCCATGGTAACAATGTGACATCATTATGTCTATTGTGACTCTTGCAACATGTGGTCGGGCATTATCTTGTTGGAAAGTTGGATCTGCCAGGGTGTCAAGATAGGGTAAAAGATGGGGTTCTAAAACTTCGTGGATATAACGCTGCGCGTTCATGTTTCCTCTAATGAAGATTAAAGGTGACCTGGAACCATAAGCTATAGCACCCCAAACCATAACTCCAACTGTGATAAACATGTCTTTCAACAAAAAACTGTGGATTCCTCCTTTCACCACGTCGCCTTCTAACCCTGGCACGACCATCGTGCATGCCTAAACAAAATCGAGACTCGTCATTAAAGACAATACTGTTCCATTCCTGATCCCAGAGTGACCGTTGTCTGCACCACTCAAGGCGATTACGTCGGTGTTCTCGAGTTAAATGGAGGACCCAGTGTGGCCGGTATGAAAACAAGCCAAAACTTCTCATTCGTCGGTAAACACTTCGCATGCCAATAGGTCTTCCGTGTTCAGCAAACCATTCATTTGCAATGGACCTGGTAGTGGAGAAACGGTCCCTTAAGGCCAATAATCTTAGGCGGCGATCTTCACGGTCTGTTGTTCTACGGCGGCGTCCAGTGCCCCTTGCTCTTTGCGTACGGCCTTCTCGAAGCCATGCCTGACAACACCTAACTACAGTGTCTACACTTCTTTGCACTCTAACTGCAATTGCCCGAAAAGAAAGTCCAGCTTCCCGAAGTCCCACTATACGACCCCTATCAAACTCACAAGTTGACGAAATCGTACAGGTCTCCGTACTCTAGGCATCGTAACCGATCGTAAAGGATGTCAAGAACCAAAATCCGCCAACGTTGATTCTTTACTGCGGCTGAAATATTCATTTTTAGAGCGTTAGTGAATTAAAAAAAAGCAGTATAAAAACCAACTGATAAGGCTGAAAATTTTTTCACTTGTTATTTACAGTAAGATAAATACATTCACCAACTTTTATTAAAATAAAACCATTTAAACTGGGTGTTCGGATTTATATGTCACTTTGTATATTTTTAAACGTTTTTCTTGTTAGTTGTCATTTGACATGCTCCCAGATATGTTCAATAGGGTTTAGGTCCGGGGATTGCAAAGGCCATGTAAGAACATTAATATTTTTTAGTCTTAACCAGTCCTTTACGAATTTTGGGGTCATTACCTTGCTGTAATGTCCATCGTAAAGGCATTTCTTCCTCAGCAAAAGGGAGCGTGCATTCACTAAGAAAATCTTTGTAGAGGTTTTGATCCATTTTCCCAACAATTTTAACAATTGTATCCGTTCCAGAACTAGAAAAACAGCCCCAAACCATGATGTTGCCTCCACCGTACTTTACTGTTAGATGAGTTTTAGCAAAGCAATACGATTTTTTTTTAAATGAGAGGCTTTTGCACTGTACACCTACCAAAAGGCCCAAAATCCACCACGCGCTTTTGCACTGTTCTGACAGAAAGATTCTCGGCACCCTCTTCTACGACTTTTTCGAAAATCTGTGTGGCTGACATTCGGGGATCTTCATGGAACAAACGTAACGATCCAAAACACAATCGTTTTTTTTTGTCTCCGCACCTGGGCCGCGTTGCTGTTGATCCGTATTCTTGATATTTACTAATAATTTCCGAAATCGTCCATTTGTTCATTATTAATCTTTGAGAAATGTCAACATTTCTGATACCACTTCTAAATAATTCGATTACTTTGTCTAATAAATCTTTGGAAATTTCTTTTACTTTTGCCATTCTCACTGTTAATATTTACCATACGAAATATCAGATTATCGCAGAACGAATAAATACGGCAAAACTGAAATGTTTCCATAATTTTATCGTTACGAAAACTGTGGTATTTAAAAACGCGCGTTTTTATTTTCATAGAATTTGAATATTGATAAGATAAACCTTAGTGTATCAGTACGGGTGACAAAGGTAGACTTTAATATTTATATTATCTGTTCCTGCACAATTTTAATTTAGGTATATGAAATAGCTCATAATAATGTTAATATTTGTTTCCAAACTTTTGTCCAGTTTGTAATAGCTACAGGTATTTGATTCTGTGGATATTTTTGCAATATCTTTACCTTATTGCGAGAGGTGAAAACTAAAATTCGCCCCTGGTTTCTGAAACACGCGGAATAGATATACAACTGAAAGAAAATGTGTAATAACGTACTTTAAAGAAACTATTGATAATTTTTTTTATTCCACAGCTGCAGTACCAGCATTCGACGATATAAATTATACTCTGTATTGCAGTATTTTCATCCCACTGTTTGTGGGATTTGTCATTTTAGTAGCTGCAGCCGTTTTCTTCTGGACTCGAAAAAACAAGCATTACTTCAACGGGGTAAGTAAAATTATCGTATAAACCTATTAGTTAAAACATTAACTTGTGAAACCGACGATCAGTTTTTATTAATGAATATAGCAAATATATTCTCTGCGATGCTTTTGTAAATGATGATTCAACTGTTTTTATATCTACAGATATATTTTTCTGAATTTTATCTCGTCTAACCTTTACTCCATGTCTGATGGTTCTATGGATATTTACTCATCTCTTTTTTTTGATAACTCCAACGAAGGCGTACGAAGTATAGAGTCAATCTACTTTTCGACATTTTTGTAAAAACTGATCTTCGGTCTGTGATAACACGTATAGTCCATTTCTATTAATTGGTGATTTTTTTCATGCTGTCCATGTAGTGGGGTGTAAGTGGATATTATCTTTTTAAGGTAGATGCTAGTTTATACGTTTCTTATTTTTCTTTTTCGCCTTTACTTCCTTTAGTTTTGCTTCTACTAAGACTGACAAAAACATAAAATAAGCAAGGAAAAAAACGATTAATGTTTAAGTTTAAGTATTGCTTGTTTCGTGGATGATCTATTCTAATATAATGCTTCCATCAGTTTTCGTCACTCTAACAAAGGCATGTTGTAGCTTTTCTATGGGATTGAATTGAACGTTTATTCTTGAAACAAACTAAAAGCTGAACATTCTTGCATGATATTCTTTAGTTTCGAATTAAATTTATTCTATGAACTTTTCGAAAATTAAAAAAAATCACTTTTACTGGGTGCGCCATCTATTACTTTTTTTTACCTATAAGTTTATGTGTTACGATGTGAGTCAAAAGTCATGTGGTATCCATAAATTAACTGTCAAAGGTATGCCATTTATAGTCCATCAACAGCGGCGTGTTTTTCTTAATTGGATGCTGGAAAGAGAAGACGGATTTTCGGCCAAAGTGCTCTTTTCTGATGAGGCTCATTTTCACCTCAATGGGTACGTAAATAAGCAAAATTGCAGATTCTGGGGGGCTGAAAATCCAGACCAATATCATCAACAACCTCTCCATCCTGGAAAAGTGACTGTTCGGTGCGGATTATGGGCTGGTGGCATCGTTGGACCATTCTTCTTTGAAGATGCCGAAGAAAAGGCCATTACCGTCAACGGGGAACGTTATCGCGGCATGTTAACAGACTTTTTGTGGCCACAATTGGATCGTATTGGTGCCGAAGATCTTCGGTTTCATCAAGACGGAGCAACGGCTCACACATCTCGCCTTATTGCACTCGAAATTTCAAGATGTCAGTTGGCCCCCGAGATCGTGCGATTTAACACCTCTTGACTATTTTCTTTGGGGATTTTTGAAAGGAAAAGTGTACGCGAATGGTCCCCGGACAATTCAAGACCTAAAGCGCAATATTCGCACTGAAATTGCGGCCATAGACCCGATTATTCTGGGAAAAGTCATTGAAAATTTTGATGTTCGGATGTTGGCCGCGGTGGTCACATGACTGATGTTATTTTTCATAAATAAATGGCATAAACCAACCTTCATTTATCAATAAAAAAATTCGATTTCGCCTCGTAAAAAGCGCGTTGATTTTTCAAATAGAAAAAAAAGTAATAGATGACGCACCCTGTATTACATCATGAATGGATTTATTAAATACACAACAAATGGTCAAACCGCCCTCCTTTAGCAGCAATACAAGCTCGACATTTGAATAAACTTTTTTTCACCGCTCACCATAATAAAAAATCGAATGGACTTGAATCAGGTGAACGCGAAATTGTCTAAATAAATTTCTCCATTCAAGAAAAAGGATACAGTGATTCTCCCATTTAGAATTCCGGTCCACGTTTACTTTAAAACGATATTGTGATCTCGTCAAACGTGGATTTTCTACATGCCACTCGTTTGGGTTGTGTAGAATCATGTAACCATCATTTTTAAATGTCGACTCATCGGTCCATAAAATTTTCTCTGAAAATCGCGGACCATCCCGGTATCTCTGTAACATTGTTTGACAAAACTCAACTATTGGAAAATAATCCCGGGCTTGTAGAGATTGTACTCGCTGTACGTGATACGGGTGAAGGTACTTTTGGACACTCGTGTGCTTGGTTCTATTTGTCGCGCTGAAGTACTCGGGTTCTCTTCGACTGCTCGTAAGGAAATGAAATTCTTCCTTCACTATGTGCTTGATTTGGGAATCGTCCCTCTGACGGTAAACGGTAAACATTCACAAAAACTCTGTGATCGGGACGTCGAGCATTTTTTGGGTACCACTCAGGATAAACTAGCTGCAGCACTAGCATCCAAATTTTTAAAAATTTTTGAGATTATACGTATAAGAGTGAGAGGTCCCAGATCAGATACTTCTTGGATCTTTTATTTTAGGAAGTGGCTTCACGACCGCTAGGTTTGATTAACGGTATACAGGGTGACTTCGAAATTGAGTCATTTATTTTAACAGTGAGTAGATCTGATCAAAAGAAATGTTTTTTTCCTTTACCATTTTTCTGGTAAAATTAAAGTAACAAAGTTACAGCCCTTTGGAAGTTTGAGTACCGCCCTGTCTCAATAATAATATCATGTGCTCGTGTTTGGCAACAACGGATATAATCCGCCTTATCGGTTCATCGCATCGGAAACAAAAAAAGCGAAAGAATTTGGAACGATGTTTTTACAATTATTTTATTCAGTTGAATACATACAGTCAGTGTCAGTCGGTAACGCGTGTGAATAGTGGTGTCTGTTGCGTGGCTCAAACGAAATAAAAAATGGCGCATGTTTATGCGGATCGGTTTCCCAATCGAGTGCAACCAACCCCTCGTGCCTTTGTTAATGTAGTACAACGGGCTCGTGAATCAGGTGACTTAAGACCTCATAGGGGACCTCACGATCAAATACAGGTCCGCACTGAAATACTTGTCGGGAGGATACTTTATAAAACAAGGTACATTTTTTTTTATTTTTGCACACATATTTTGGTTTATCTTCCTTCTACAATCATTATCTGAAAATTAATGACTCAACTTCAAAGTCACCCTGTATGTGTAATTCAATACTCGGTAAAAGTGACTGAATACGCCGACCACGGAGTTCTCGGTGCATCTCTAATAGTACTAGCATTGCGAATAGTAATTACCTTTTTGCTTAATGCACTTTGCACCTTTTTTCCGAAAAATGTAACGCCTTTTCGTTTAGTTACCGACGTCGGAACCGAATCCTCCTCCACCGCCGTCATCTCCGTTTCTCGACACCAGACCTATCCAGCTTTTGGAAATCAAAGCTAGGGGTCGATTCGGCGCTGTATGGAAGGCGCAGTTCAAGACCGAAGAGGTCGCTGTCAAGATATTCCCCATACAGGTAAGTGCGATTTTTTTGGAATCTCGGTTTTTGTCGTTTCATAGTCCAGGAAGTAATTTAGTATTTGTACGGAAAATTATTCCGATTCGGTTTTACTAAATAGTATATAAATCGCTCAAACGTCGTTTTTTGACATTTCAGATCATTTTCGGAAAAACAAATTGTAGGGATTAAAATCGGGGTGGGGAAGGGGGTATATCTATTTTTTTAATGTTGGTATCTTTATACGGCCTCCAAGTTCTAAAAAAGCGGGAAAATTGAACACATCATGGTAAATATGCGAATTTTAATTGTGAGCCGGTTTCACTGACTTGATCCATTTAGTTTTTTGTTATAAATTTTCGACGCTTATTTTTTTCTCAAAAGAGCTCAGTTGTTCCGAACATAATCCTTTATCTGATAACAGCGTCGCCTGGCAAGTTCAGAGTCAACCTACTTGACGCAATTTGTTTCCACTTTTTACAAATCTGCATAATCCCAGGCTCAAAATGACGTGAAAATTGAAGATACAAATTTTTTAATCGAATCGAAGAATCATTTTTTTTCGTTACGAATGATCGAAGAATATTTAGCATGTTTGGCGACATTAAAATTGTCATTTATTTTAAAAATTTTTTTTGTCAAAAATGGCATATTTCGTACGTACGTTTTCAAATACTGAATCGCTTGTATCACGATAAATTATCAACTTTGGAGAATCACCTTTTTTGTCCAGAATGACGGAAAAAACCTGAAAAAACTATCGCAAACGAAATGAATCATTTTTTGGAATTTGAAAATATTTTTTAAACAATTTGTACGCAATTTTGGTACTGAAAACATTTTTGAACAAGATTATGCAAAAAACTGAATCAGAATATTTTTCACTGCAGATGCGAAGATACTTTCTGGATCACTCGTTTTTTAAGATTCTCCAACTTTTTCCAAGTTTCAATATCACTAATGACGTTTGGAACTTTGTGTGTTTTATGTAGCTAAATTTTTTAAAACGCTTATCGTTTCAATATTTTTCAAACCAACTAGCCATTTTCGAGAATATATATTAAGTGACATATAAATCCGAACACCCAGTTTAAATGGTTTTATTTTAATAAAAGTTGGTGAATGTATTTATCTTACTGTAAATAACAAGTGAAAAAATTTTCAGCCTTATCAGTTGGACATTCCGGTTTTTATACTGCTTTTTTTTAATTCAGTAACGCTCTTAAAATGAATATTTCAGCCGCATTAAAGAATTAACGTTGGCGGATTTTGGTTCTTGACATCCTTTACGATCGGTTACGATGCCTAGAGTACGGAGACCTGTACGATTTCGTCAACTTAGTGAGTTTGTTAGGGGCCGTATAGTGGGACTTCGGGAAGCTGGACTTTCTTTTCGGGCAATTGCAATTAGAGTGCAAAGAAGTGTAGACACTGTGGTTAGGTGTTGTCAGGCATGGCTTCGAGAAGGCCGTACGCAAAGAGCAAGGGGCACTGGACGCCGCCGTAGAACAACAGACCGTGAAGATCGCCGCCTAAGATTATTGGCCTTAAGGGACCGTTTCTCCACTACCAGGTCCATTGCAAATGAATGGTTTGCAGAACACGGAAGGCCTATAGGCATGAGAAGTGTTTACCGACGAATGAGAAGTTTTGGCTTGTTTTCATACCGGCCACACTGGGTCCTCCCTGTAACTCGAGAACACCGACGTAATCGCCTTGAGTGGTGCAGACAACGGTCACTCTGGGATCAGGAATGGAACAGTATTGTCTTTAGTGGCGGGTCTCGATTTTGTGTAGGCATGCACGATGGTCGTGCCAGGGTTAGAAGGCGACGTGGTGAAAGGAGGAATCCACAGTTTTTTGTTGAAAGACATGTGCATCACACTGTTGGAGTTATGGTTTGGGGTGCTATAGCTTATGGTTCCAGGTCACCATTAATCTTCATCAGAGATAACATGGACGCGCAGCGTTATATCCACGAAGTTCTAGAACCCCATCTTTTACCCTATATTGACACCCTGGCAGATCCAACTTTCCAACAAGATAATGCCCGACCACATGTTGTAAGAGTCACAATAGACAATAGACTTCTTTCAACATAATGATGTCACATTGTTACCATGGCCACCAAGATCTCCCGACTTATCCCCAATTGAGCACGTGTGGGATATGATGGGTAGGAGATTGCTCAATTTGCAACGTCCTCCTCAGACTCTAGAAGCACTTCGAGAGGAGTTGGTGGTTGCCTGGAATGAGATACCACAGGAGGACATTGACCACCTGATCAGAAGCATGCCTAGGCGCGTTGGAGAATGCGTAGCACATCAGGGTGCATCCACACATTATTAAAGGTCAAAGGGCTTTAAAGCAGTGCAATCATTTTGAAATTTGTATCATTTACTTATTATGCTTCACTAAGTACTTATACAAAATTTTATTAAAATAAAACCATTTAAACTGGGTTTATATGTCACTTAGTATACATACATAGAGGATACTGAGCCGATCAACGATTTTTGTGAATAGGACAAGCAATCTTGGCAGACTGAACAAGATATCTTCAAACTAGCCTATATGGATCATCCGAACATTCTGCATTACATTGGCGTCGAGAAGAGAGGAGACAATCTCCAAGCTGAATTCTGGTTGATAACAGCATATCATGACAAAGGGTCGCTATGTGATTACTTAAAGGCGCACACTCTGACGTGGAACGAGTTGTGTCGCGTGGCAGAAACTATGTCGAGAGGTAAGCTTTTTTAATCGAAAACTTGAAAGGAGAGGCTGTATTTTTACCAATTTCACCGTGGAATTTAATCTTATTTTCTAGGTTTGATGCATCTTCACGAAGCTATACCCGGAAGGCTACCAGGGGAGCCATCGAAACCCTCAGTGGCCCACAGAGATTTTAAGAGCAAAAACGTGCTTTTGAAGAGTGACATGACAGCTTGTATTGCCGATTTTGGCCTGGCTATCATTTTCAAGCCTGGAGAGTCCTGTGGAGATACGCATGGTCAAGTAGGAACGAGACGGTGAGGATTGCATGAAAATTTAAAATTCCTGCAAATATTGAAAAATTGCTGTTTTTGGAGATTTTTGAAAATTTCGTGCACTTGGAAAAAATTTGAAAATTTCCCTGTTTTTACTTCCGATGCGAAATTTTGAGTTAGAGATATGTTTTGTGGATGGTACGTGACTCTTATAGTAAATAGCTGTTAGAAATTCTCATGGATGACGATACGGTACCTCATTTTATCACGGATGATTTTTTGGACGCGCGAATATGTCATTAGGTTGGCTATTTTCAACTACACTACGTTAGTCAATGCTTGGTTACTCTAATGTTTGTAACTGTGACATTTTCTCGCAGATACATGGCCCCGGAAGTCCTAGAAGGCGCGATAAACTTCACCTCGGACGCGTTCCTGCGCATCGACATGTACGCTTGCGGTCTCGTCCTGTGGGAGCTCGCGTCTCGGTGCACGGCGCAGGACGGACCTGTTCCAGAGTACAGGCTGCCTTTCGAAGAGGAGGTGGGGCAGCACCCCACCTTGGAGGACATGCAGGAGGCTGTGGTGCAGAGAAAAGTGCGGCCGCACATACAGAAGCATTGGAGGCACCACGCGGTAAGGATCTTGGCGCTAAGCCATATTTGGAGTAATAATAATAAAACATTTGTTACATATACCATTTAGAGAGCAATACATGTACAATGATTTAATTTACGTAGTCTGTGTGCCATAACATTACTTATAATTTAAAATGATTCCATTTATTTACAGGGCTTAGCTTCAATGTGCGACACGATGGAAGAATGCTGGGACCACGACGCTGAAGCGAGACTTTCAGCGTCTTGCGTCATGGAACGAGTCATGTTGCAGTCCAAGTACCAACAATCCGCTTTGGGCGGCTGGAGGATAGAAAACGAAACGCCTAACGCGCCCCCCAAAGACTTCAGTATCAGCATGTAGAATTAAGGTAATATATTTTCACGATAATAAATTGTCTCGCATTTCTACTAATATGACTTCTTACCCGTTGCGTTTTGAACCTACCAGTTGAACTTTTCAGGCTTATGCTCTCTATTCCAACATAGTCTTGCACTATACTTTGAGAATTGTCCTTGATTATAATTATAGTTAAAGGTGTGTTTAAAATTCCATGGTTTTTGGCCAAATGAAGCCACTTACAGGGTGAGTTTCTAGTGCGGGCTTGGACGATAATTTCATTATTTTGCGTGGTTACTAAAAAAGTTAAATACGAAAAATGTAGTCAACAGTATGCTCCTTACTTTGGAAATATTTTTATTTCTATGAGGTGATTCATATCTACGTGATGGCCAAAACATACATTTTTGAATAGAAAGACTTTTTATATACTTTATATACTTATTTTATTTTATATACTTTATGACCTTAAAATCAAGGTGACACAACCTTGAACGTTAAAGTCAAAATTTCCCAAGGAAACCTCTTATTTTTATACTGGAAATGGAAAATGCAGAAAATTTCACGTTTGAATGCGATCTTGACCTTAAAGTCAAGGTTGTGTCAAGCTTGAACGTTATTTGACGCTATTTGTCAAGTCAAAATTTCCTAAGGAAACCTCTTATTTTTATACTGGAAATGGAAAATGCAGAAAATTTCACGTTTGAATGTGATCTTGACCTTAAAGTCAAGGTTGTGCTAAGCTTGAACGTTATTTGAGGTCAAGTCAAAATTTCCTAAGAAAACCTCTTATTTTTATACTGGGACTGGAAAATGCAGAAAATTTCACGTCCGAATGCGACCTTGACCTTAAAGTCAAGATTGTGACAATCTTGAACGTTATTCGATGTCAAGTCAAAATTTCCTAAGAAAAGCTCTTATTTTTATACTTTGAATGGAAAATGCAGAAAATTTCACGTCCGAATGCGACCTTGACCCTAAAGTCAAGATTGTGTCAAGCTTGAACGTTATTTGAGGTCAAGTCAAAATTTCCTAAGGAAACATCATATTTTTATACTGGAAATAGAATATGCAGAAAATTTCACGTTTGAATGCGATCTTGTCCTTAAAGTCAAGGTTGTGTCAAGCTTGAACGTTATTTGACGCTATTTGTAAAGTCAAAATTTCCTAAGGAAACCTCTTATTTTTATACTAGAAATGGAAAATGCAGAAAATTTCACGTCCGAATGCGACCTTGACCTTAAAGTCAAGGTTGTGCCAAGCTTGAACGTTATTTGAGGTCAAGTCAAAATTTCCTAAGAAAACCTCTTATTTTTATACTGGGAATGGAAAATGCAGAAAATTTCACGTCCGAATGCGACCTTGACCTTAAAGTCAAGATTGTGACAAGCTTGAACGTTATTCGAGGACACGTCAAAATTTTCTAAGGAAACCTCTCATTTTTATACTGGAAATGGAAATTGCAGAAAATTTCTCGTCCGAATGCGACCTTGACCTTAAAGTCAAGGTTGTGCCAAGCTTGAACGTTATTTGAGGTCAAGTCAAAATTTCCTAAGAAAACCTCTTATTTTTATACTGGGAATGGAAAATGCAGAAAATTTCACGTCCGAATGCGACCTTGACCTTAAAGTCAAGATTGTGACAAGCTTGAACGTTATTCGAGGACACGTCAAAATTTGCTAAGGAAACCTCTCATTTTTTTACTGGAAATGGAAATTGCAGAAAATTTCACGTCCGAATGCGACCTTGACCTTAAAGTCAAGGTTGTGACAAGCTTGAACGTTATTTGAGGTCAAGTCAAAATTTCCTAAGAAAAGCTCTTATTTTTATACTGGGAATGGAAAATGCAGAAAATTTCACGTCCGAATGCCAACTTGACCTTAAAGTCAGGATTGTGACAAGCTTGAACGTTATTCGAGGACACGTCAAAATTTTCTAAGGAAACCTCTCATTTTTATACTGGAAATGGAAATTGCAGAAAATTTCTCGTCCGAATGCGACCTTGACCTTAAAGTCAAGGTTGTGACAAGCTTGAACGTTATTTGAGGTCAAGTCAAAATTTCCTAAGAAAACCTCTTATTTTTATACTGGGAATGGAAAATGCAGAAAATTTCACGTCCGAATGCCAACTTGACCTTAAAGTCAAAGTTGTGCCAAGTTTGAACGTTATTTGGGGTCAAGTAAAAATTTCCTAAGGAAACCTCATATTTTTATACTGGAAATATAATATGCAGAAAATTTCACGTCCAAATGTGACCTTGACCTTTGACCTTAAGGTCAAGGTTGTGTCGATCATCAACTTTATTTGGAGTCATAGTCGCATCCATTCATAAATTTTCGTTTGCGGAATAGAGTTTTCTCTCGGGAATTTTGACTTAACCTTGAAGGTCAAGGTCATGCTGGATGACGCATTTGGGTGACCTCACAGCTGTGCTGCCGAACATTTTTGCTGGAGAAAATTGTTTCTTATATCTTGATTTGACCTTGATGTGACTTTAAAGGCAATTGTCATTGTCATTTCAGGTGACGTTCTGACGTGAACTTTACTACTCGTTTCAATTCCGGTGTGAAAAGAGGGCGTTCCATTTGAAAATATTCACTTGACATTGAATGTCGTATTCAAGGTCATTGTCAAAGTCACTATCAATTTTCGCAGTATTTAGGAGGACAGATTCAATTGGGACACCGTGTATGCGTGGTTTCATTTAGTCAGAAAGACTGTTTTATCAACATGAAAACCACGGGATTTGTGTTTTTATTTTTCGTATTTCTAGGCGGTCTAATATCTTTGTGATGTCGTTTCGTTTTTTTTTTTTTCAGCAGACAGAAGCTAGGAGGGTATTGTACCTGCAATTGCATAGAAAGGAGTACCTGTAAAACGAAGCAGCTCGTTGCCACACTAGATTTTCATGTTGAAAAATAGTTTTATATTCCAAATCATGTCAAACATTTGGTCAGCTGAAACGTGATTGATTTTAGAGCGTTTCACGTTATTTGATAGCGATGAACGAAGATGTATTTTATTTAGGCGACATAAATTTGGAATTAAAACTATATCAGATTCATAAGTAATGCCAAAAAGGTTCGATTCGTGAACCTCACCATTCCATGTGCCAACAATAGTTAAATAGGGGGAATCTCTCTGTTTTTAAACAGACTGACCATAATCATTTTTATGTGTGGTGACTAACCAATATAAGAAATAAACTACGAATGTGTATCTTTGCTTTCAGAAAAAAAAAACAACAGGCAGGAGTGCGATCGTTAAAAGGCTGACACAGGTTGACTCTTGACTCAGCTCTTTGCTAATTTAGAACGCGAAAGCCCAAAAGAATTACAGTAGATAAATCTCGAATTCTTCCTGAATTCCTCCGGGCTTTGAGTATTAAAGGAGGGGGCACAGACCTCACGGTGAATCTAGCTCAAACTTCGGAATTTAGCTCTTCGGAGCATCCCGATCAAAAGTTTTCATGGGCTCTTAACAATCCTACGAAGCGTTTCCTTGATATACAGGGTGTGCCAAGAATGCGAGAATGGAGTAATGTTCAACTATTTATGGTATCCGAGGGCACATTTCTAAAATACTCACAATTATATAGGGTGTGCCAATTCCAACGTCAAAAACATTTCCTTTTAATGGAAGGCCGTGTCTTTTATTTCACATTCGGGTAGGCCTTTTTAAAAGAAGAAGATCGATATAACCTCGGTACTTGTCGGTTTTGATTGTTAGTTATTGACCTAAAAAATACCTCATCAGTTGTCTTGACAATTTACATCAGTGGAGGCATTTAAGTTGATGAATGCTTCAATCTTTTCATTTCAGTATTAAAAAATCTAATCGAAAAGAAGTGACTTGTCCTTGACATGACCTTGAATGTTATGGTCCGTTTCATCAATACACTAATGCAAACTCTCAAATATGCAGGTTGTCAAACTGCGGTGTTTCTTAGATAAAAAACCCAACAGGCAATAACTAATAAACCATAAGTAAGTCATTTCAATCTTCCTCTTTTAAAAGGGCCTATCCGAATGTGTAATAAAACGTACAAACTTGCAATTAAAAAAAATTAAGGTCGAGCAAAACTGGAACACGCTGTATAATTGTGAGTATTTGAGAAATGTGTCCTTGGGTACCATGTATAATAACCAATAAATAAGTGTCTTTGACGAGTTTTCGTTTAGGAGAAATACTCCGTTCTCGCATGCTTGAGACCATGTATATCATGGAAACGCTTGAGAACTTTTGATCAAGGTGTTCTGGTGAGGTTTTCCCTAAAGTTTGAGCAAGATTTACCGTAAGGAGGACGCTGGAATTGATACTGCTTGTCTGACACGACTTGTTTGCTATTTTTTTCTGAGGGCATAGACACGTGCTATTAAACAAATTTTCTGTGACGCGACGGACGTTTTTACCGTATTTCGCGCCGCGTCTAACATTTTGAGTATTTCTTTTTGTACGGTGTTGTAGAAAAATATACAGATGTCTTAGGGTTAGTACAATGATGCGGATGAAAGTATGATATGCCTGGGAAACGGTTCACATTTTTTCGGAATATTTAAAATTTCAGATGAACGCTCTTGATTGACAAAATTCGTGTACGCGTGCATTTTTTTAGAAGTTACATATCAATTCTGCATGAATTCGTGAAATTTGAATTGTATATATTTTTTATATTAACGATAAACGTCTCTTTAATATAATATTTGTTGTACGGGAACATTGTGCTAAAAAGTAGGAAAATAAATCGACTACTGGTATATTTAGTATTTGTTGTTTATACAGGGTGATTCAGAAAACGGAAGCGTTTTTTGCGAAAACTATGCGAGATGTCCTGTTTTTATGAGAGGAAAAATGAGGTCTTTTACATGAAAAAAAATCGTTGGGAGAGTTGCGAAAAAACTTTGCTGTAATTTAAGTAGGGGTGGGGGCAGTTTTCACCCTTCTCGAACTTTTTCAGTTTTTTTTTTTGTAAAAGTCAAATATTAGGACGTTTAGCAAAACGGTGTTGACTTGACGTAGAAACAGTGATGACCAAAAATTTTCGTGGCTGAAGTTGTGACAGTAGCGTGGAAATTGGAAAATTCAATGCCCCACAGAAAGAAAATCATTTTCCACGTCACTAACTTTTTGGGAACATCTATTACATATTTTAATAATATATTAGATTCTCCGTGCACTGCCTGTTTTCTTGTTATAATATACGTAATAGTAATAATAGACGTCTTCGTTTTATATACAATAACATAGTAATGCAGCTGAATCACCCTGTATATTAGATGTGATATTAAAAGATTATACTTCTGTGCACACACAACACGACGTCTCGAAAAACCTGTTTTTGTGTACGGCCACTTTTTTAGAAGAAATTCAGATGAACGCTACAACCCACAAAAAATAATAAACATACCTACAAGTCGGATTGTTTTCCTTCATAAAATTATATGCATAACTGTTACATTTAGATCAGAGAAGAATATTATGTTTGTAGGGAAAATCAGGATGGTATATTTTTAATGAATACGATATTTTGCAGAAAATATTGAAAGAGACGTAACGTAATGTTGAAAGGAAATATGAGAATATTTTTTTAATTGTTGAGACAGAATCTACGATACCTGAACTTGGATTTTTCAGTTTTTAAAGTTATAGGATTGGTCGAAATTATATAGAAAAGAAATATTCAAAGCATGAATATTTTCTATGAAAAAAAATATCTTATTATGGTACTGTATTTACTTTGTCTACATACGTTTTGGAGAATATAATATACACATTTGAGGAGCTGAACAGTTCCATTGTATCAAAGTTTCAATGACGAAGGTCTGACCTGCAGAATTCGTAGGCTAGGATTGAAAGTACGAAAATGTAAATTACACAAAGTTTTACCCAGAAACTAGAGTATACTTTCCAAAAAATCTTCGGAAAAGTATACTGTGGTTTTTGGATAAGAGGGTGGGCTCAATTTTGGACTTGGACTATGATTTTTCCAGAATTACTTGGTGGACGAGACAAGAATTATCTGTTGTTCGATCCAAAACTAGACCGTTGTTTTTTTTTTTAGTTTCAACATCACTGTCGTCTGTTCCTTTATCCAATTGGACTTCAGAGAATTTTCAATACTTTCAGGTTAAAAACAAGTCTGGTGATTATAAAAATCCCGAAGTGCAATCACCGAAATCCCCTACTTCTAAATAGTGGTAACAGACTTTGACGCATTGAGGCTGTTCAGCGATTTTTTTAGGAATTTGTGAGACTGAAATTGGACATATTAACAGAAATAATCGTATTATTCATTCGAAAAAAAAAAAGAATAATCTAACCTGCTTTAAGATTTAACTTTTTAGCATCTAGTTATTTTAGTTCTTCCATTTATAAGTGTAAACAAACGGTTTAGGAATCTATAGTACAGAGTATTTTATAAGAGAATTTTTACGTAAACACTATCCGTTTAAACTTGATCTAAAGTTCTGCGACATCGAGAAGATTTTTCAGTTTGTTGACTTTGTACGATTTCTTTTGATCGTCATGTAATCTCGGTAACCACAGCAACGATTTAGGGTTATTGTCATTCAAACGGACTTTAGTTTCATTACAGTAATTTACAGTCTCATCATGTTGCTTCATTTTCCAATAACAGCAGGTTGCAATTTTAAGTCTAAACGGATAGTTTTTCATGTTATTTGTATGAAGGCAGCTGATTTTTTCGTAGTTCTACACACACTGATCTTTGGGTTGCTCACATACGTATACGGGGTGATAAAATGTAAACATAGTAAAAATATAAGTGTTACACTAAGAAAAATGTTATTGAATATAGGGTGTAAAATTCATCCTCTTTATAGTGAGTGCGGTAGACCTGGACCACTGAATAAAAGAAAATATCTATAAACAAATAATTATGAATTTATCTTAAATACGTCTAACGGCTGACCTATATTCAACTTTTTGGAGTTGGAGTTTCGAAATGGCCGGGAGAAACTTACAGGTAGTTTGTCCTAGGGCATATTCCGTAAAAAAATCATTTTTTTGTAGTACACACGCTGCACAAGAAATACTATTTAATGGTGACCTTGGCCATGACTCTCAAGGTCAACTTAAACTTTTACGACCTTCATCCTTTACACCTGTCGTTCCATTTTTGAGTTCCAAAGTGAGTGAAGGTCGTTTTCAAGGTCATTGTCAAGGTCACCCCCAAACGTAAGATTTTCTGATCTTTCACTCTGCGATCTCATGTTATACGATTTTCAAGTTAACCTATGAATGACCTTGAAGGACATTTTCAAGGTCACTGTTCAGGTCACCTTCAAACGTAATATTTTCTGATCTTTCATTCTGCGAGATCAAAAACATGAGTTCGTGTTATACGATTTTCAAGTTAGCCTGTTAATGATCTTGAAGGGCATTTTCAAGGTCGCTGTTAAGGTCACCTCCAAACGTAATATTTTCTGATCTTTCATTCTGCGAGATCAAAAACATGAGTTCGTGTTATACGATTTTCAAGTTAACCTATTAATGAACTTGAAGGGCATTTTCAAGGTCATTACTAAACGTAAGATTTTCTGCTCCTCTTTCCGTTTGCGGGATGATCAACATTCGATTCCTTGTTATAAAAGTTTTAAGGTAACGTCTCAATGACCTTGATGTCGTGTTCAAGGGCACGGTCAAGGTTATTTCCAAAATTAAGGTTATCTTTTCTTTCCTTCTACAGGTTCAAAAACGTACGATTCTTTGTTATACATTTTTTTAGTCAACCTGTCGAGGTCATGTTCAGCTTTTGAAAATCCTGTACATTGAGATGAGGCTTCATCAAAGGTGAGATCTTACACATTTCTTGAATTATAATCGAAAATTGGCGTACAAAGCTTGCAAATAAGACATTTTAATGCTTTTTTGTCTTGGGATGAAATCATCAGATCAGATCATATTTTTGATTCTTTATTTTCCCATAAGCGAACTTCCGCTTCAAAAAATTGAAGGTAGGATTCCATGGATTGCTACACGAGTCATTTCAATATTTGTCACTCGGCTGTGGTGATCCCTAGATGAAATTTTTCGGTGCAAAATACAAGTTCTTAGGTTATATAGTTAAATAATTGAAATATAATATTTATATATAATAGCGTTTTTTTGTAAATACACATGTTTGTACAATAGAATGGTGTTGTGAACAATAGGTTAATTTTCATACAGTACAGGGTAGATATAAGCTCAAATCGTAATTTCTTCTGTATTATCACCTTGTATACATTTTTTTATTTGAGAAATGGACTCCCCTCAGGTTCAGATACAATATACTATCCACTAATTCTCTACGGGGTGAGTTAGATGTACGAAGACATGGAAGTAATGTTTGTAGTGATTTTTGACTTGAAAATAAAATCCTTGAACTTTTCAAGATCAGGCGGATTCTCCAAGAAGATCAAGTCGATCTTTAATTTTCGCACAACAAAAGGCAAATAACCCGAGTCTCTTAAAACCGTTTTACAGTCTGCAAGATCATTGCATGCAATCTCAAGGTATCTGTAAACATTTAAATATAGTCACATACCCACAGGGCCTTTCTAGGGGTATTTGAATGAATTTGTAAGTTGCAAACTATTGCATCAGAATTGCAGAGAAAGTTACATGAAAAATCGAACTGATTGATTTTAATACAAGACCTCGGCAGTTTTGCTAGTGCGCATGCATCTGATCAACATTTCTCTTACTATTGCTGACTCCAAAACGGATATCAGAAATTTTGATCAATTAAAAATTGCGCAACTTTTGTGTTACGGCACATCTTTATTGCCCTCGTTGAGATACATCTTGCCATTTTATTTAGTTGATGGATGTATGTATTTTCGTTTATCATGTTTATTATAATTCTACCATTTTCTACCTCTGAATGTTCAAAAATACTTCTTAGTATTCTTTTAATTCGGTGCTTTCCACATTTAATCTTATTGCGATCTAGCGACTTTAGTTAATATGACTTATAGGAGCGCTGCTATGTACAAGGTGTACCAAAAATATTCTGATTTATTTTTTTGCATAACTATCCGGAATGGAAGCATTTTCCAAAAGATGCATGGAAATTATCAACAGGGTGTCCACGGACTGATTTTTCTCATTTTTACTCATTATTTTGTTGGCTGCTATTTTTTGCTCCCGTTTTTTTGCTCATTTTTATCATCATTTTGGGATGTTTTTCAATTTAATGAGCGTCCTGTAGGCGCTCAGGTCTACAGGGTGACTTCGAAGTTGAGTCATTTATTTTAACAGTGAGTAGATCTGATCATAAGAAATGTTTTTTTCCTTTACCATTTTTCTGGTAAAATTAAAGTAACAAAGTTATAGCCCTTTGGAAGTTTGAGTACCGCCCTGTCTCGATAATATCATGTACTCGTGTTTGGCAACAACGGATATAATCCACCTTATCGGTTCATCGCATCGGAAACAAAAAAGCCAAAGAATTTGGAACGATGTTTATTTTATTCAGTTCAGTTATACATACAGTCAATGTCAGTCGCGTGTGAATAGTGTCTGTTGCGTGGCTCAAACGAAATAAAAAATGGCACATGTTTATGCGGATCGGTTTCCCAATCGAGTGCAACCAACCCCTCGTGCCTTTGTTAATGTAGTACAACGGGCTCGTGAATCAGGTGACTTCAGACCTCACAGGGGACCTCACGATCAAATACAGGTCCGCACTGAAATACTTGTCGGGAGGATACTTTATAAAACAAGGTAAAAATTTTTTTTTATTTTTTTTTTATTTTTACACACATATTTTGGTTTATCTTCCTTCTACAATCATTATCTGAAAATTAATGACTCAACTTCAAAGTCACCCTGTATAAAGTGTATCAGTTAGTCGAAAAGTCGTTATTTGGTCTATCATAGGAGCTAGAAGCCCTTCTAGGTTAAGCATGAAGCATTTTTATTCATATCAATGGCTTGACTAGAGAAAAGCTTCCAAACCGCTCAATTTTTACTCATTTTCCGTTCCAAATCACTCATTTTTCTCCTTTTTTTTTTCGGGGGGTCCGCCTTTTTTCTTTCTAATACTTTTCAAAGTTAGAGCGCCTTTTTGAAGGACAGGAAACACCATGAAAATCAAGGAGGCCACAAAGGCGTCCTACAATCTTAGGAACGACTGACGATTCGCCCTTAGAGCGAATATGGCAATATTTAGCTATATTTTTTTGCATCTTGTGTATAGTTTGAGCTCCTTGAGGTTTAGATATGGGTTTGAAACAGATTGCTTATTTCATGTCTGTTTTGAAAACGTATCTGCCGCCCACTTTTCAGTATGCATAGATTTTTAGATTAGATGCTGTTTCGTCCGTGTTAGGGCTAGTCAGTATGATCCTGAGACAGAGGATAGTCTGAAGTTCTTGGAAATCAATGTATGCTGGATAGGGCGCGTGTTAGAATTTTGTAAATAATATACTGATCTATTTTAACAACATATCACTAACATTTCATTTGTTTCGTTTTATATTTCATTTGTACACACCTATAATGGTTTGTAATAAAGTAAAATTTGTTAAGAAAACTTGTATTTCTTCAGAAAAACCTTCCCCCTCCCCATGTCCAAAATTATGGTAGGATCATAAACGTAAAGATGTTTTTCTGGTCGCATTATTACCTGACGAAATACTGGCGTAAAAAACGAAAAAATGTGTGGCGTACTATAAAAAAATTGTTTTTTATTTTTAAACTTCAACACCCCGTATCTTTGTAATGTTCATTTTTGGTCACGACTTGTGGATCACCCCGTATATTTTTTCATGATCCTTTATCACGTGTTGACGTCTTTGAACGAAACAGCTGATCACATCCTTCCGCTGACTGTCAAATTTGACAATAATATACAGAGAAATCCGTCACTGTCGTCGTCATGTGAACGAGAGAGAAGCGTCCGCGGCCTTGTCCTTCGGGTTGCTAGGCAACGTGGTGTCTCTATTTGTTTCCAACAGGCATTTTGCATGATTCTCTCTGGTACCCATTACGATGTGGATTTATCTGTATACGAATTACAAAAAGCTACAAAACCTTATGGCCACAGAAGACCATCTCTTCTTATTAAAATTTTGTCTTAGGATCGGTCAGTTAGATCACCTGACGATATGGGATGATTTGCATATCACTAGATAATCAGCTGTAACCACATCATTCTTGTCTCAAGTATTCATATGCCGTTGAGAAGTAAACATTTCATGGCGTACCGAGGTTTTTTGAAAAACTAAAATTTGGTCAAATCGTTTCTATTTTTATTACTAAATATCAAAAAACTGATGGAACTTTTTCATTGGCACTTTTTAGGCGCTACATAATGGTGTTTTTAAATTTTCGTTTTTGAGAGTCCAAGTTTATTTTTTATATGGTCCGAAAAAAAGTACGTCCATCTGATAGCATATTTTTCTACGAATTCAACGATGTTACATTGGCTTTCTTAGTTATGAAGAAAAATGTGTTTTCTTCTATTTTTTATTTTATTTAAGTAGGCATTGCAAACAATTCACAATAGGTGTTCAAATAGGTTGCCATTATTTTTTAAACATCAATATGATCTTCAGGTTTGAAAACATCACGTAACATTTCTGGTGTAATCATACTAAAAGCTTCCTTTTACACATTCTAGTAACTGCCGCTCAGTTTCAAAAGTATGTTGACAAATTAGGTTTTCAGTGAAACGGGAAATTCGATTTTCCCAGGCTTTCCGGGCTTCCCCTATGTCTCTTAAAAATATTCTAACATGCACAATTGAAACATTTGACATTCTGATAAGTCACTGTTCAAGTGTAATTCTCAATAATAACCAATGAAAAATATGATGATTTCTTTGCTTGCCACTAACCTTATCTCCCGACAAAGGAACGTAAGTTTATAACCGTTTGTCTACCGTTTTTCCATTATTAATAATAAACTGTAATGGATATTCGAAATTTCAATCTTTCAGAACTCGAATACTATATTAAGCCCAAAAAGTACTTTAGAACTGTTTTTTTGTCGATGATACAATTTTTATTGTCTAACGAAGAATTCAAAATGTGGAACTCACAAAGTCATTGCAATGACAGATTCATATCTTTCCACTGCCAATAATCCTAGAATGTTTGTGAATTTAAACATACATATTTTAGTAATGTTTAGGATTTCATTATTAAAACCATCCTATCGCTTCGGTCCGAACGCCCTGTATATGATATCCAAAAATACAGATTCGGTTGTGTAGTAAAATCGTCGTACATGTATAAAAAAACGGCAATTTTTCCAGCGTCAACAAGAACGACGCTAGCCAAGCGGCGGTAGGGAGAGTAGGAGAATGAGGGGAAATGAGTGGTTCTGCGACAAGGTACTGCGCGGCTTCAGTTTTCAGTTATCGGGGTAGCGCGTCGGCGGTCGGTTGGTGCT